AGGAATCAGCTTCTCTGTTAGTTAAGGAGTTACAGAAACACAGATTTTCGCATGATGATCAAACTGTTGATTGTAACCCGGTCCCGTTCACCCAGAATGGTGTGTTGGATTATGGAAAGGACTGGCTGTCACCTGTTGAGGAGGCAATGGAGGCCAAGGGAGATGTGACAGATGGGAGCAGGTTGAAACAGGGCAGCTCTTTTGGTATGATTTTGTGGGAGGAGAAGGGGCTTGGTAATTTTGGGGGTGGTTGACCCTTTGGCTGTTGTTCATCCAGAGGAGGTGGACAACAGGGTTCATCGGCAGGAAGGTGAGGACACTGGAATGGAATGGGTTAAGGCTAATATTGGGGTTACTAGTGATCTGCTGGGAGTCTCCTGCAAGGGTAATCGTGATCAGGCCTTAGCAATCCATCAGGCCAAGGCAGAGGGGAGAGAAAGGGAGATGATTCAATTTTCCAGACGAAGGAGTTGGAAGAAGAAGAACCTAACTCCGGGGAAAGGAGAAAGGGAGTTAAGGAATCTGTGTTGTGAGGTGAATTATGATAGGGTGATTGGGGGGGTGAAGGGGAGAGGTAATGCTAAGGGAGGAGGGAGAGGTAATGCTAAGGGAGGAGGGAGAGGAAAGAGGGGAAAGGGGGTGATTGCTTCCTTATGAAGCTTCGAATTTTATCATAGGATGTCCGTGGTCTAAATGATCCGAGCAAGCGAAGGGTGGTGCAGATGGCGGTGAGGAAATGGGGGGTGCACTTGGTGTGTTTCCAAGAAACAAAGGTTGATTTTATGTCTGATCATGTGGTGAAAAGCTTGTGGGGCAACCGGTTTGTCGAGTGGGAGGTGCTAGATGCTGTCAGGACCTCAGGAGGTGTCTTTATCATGTGGGATAGGAGATGGTTGGCAAAGGTGGATGTTTGCAGAGGGAGATTTTCTTTGTCATGTGCCTTTGTGATGGAGGAGGATGGATTCTCTTAGGGTTTTTCTGGGGTGTATGGGCCGGTTGACGATGGTGTGAGGGATGGTTTGTAGGAGGAGTTGAGCGGGGTGAAAGGGAGGTGGTCTCTTCCTTAGCGTGTAGCAGGAGACTTTAATGTGGTTAGATCCCCGGCGGAGAGATCTACTGATGGTCCGTGGACTCAGGCTATGATGCACTTTTCTGACTTTATTGATGGACACCAGCTTATTGATCTCCCTCTTAAGGGAGCTTCCTTCACTTGGTCCAGTGGAAGGGAAGCTCCAACTTTCTCTCGCCTTGACAGATTTATTTTTTTTCCAGTGAATGGGAGGAGAAGTTCCCGTACATTGTTCAAGCCAGTTTGGCTAGGGTGACATCGGATCATATTCCCTTAGTTTTGGACTGTGGAGGCTTGAGATCTCCCAGCACTCCTTTCAGATTCGAGAACATGTGGCTTCGTGTGGATAATTTCCAGGAATGTTTGCACTTTTGGTGGGAGGAGAACCTGGTGGTGGGTACCTCGAGCCATATTCTTGCAGGAAAGCTTCAACTCCTGAAAAATAATCTTAAAAGGTGGAATAAGGAGGTGTTTGAGAGCTTGGTGTGGAGGAAGAATAGGGTTTTGACTGATATTGCTAAGATTGATAGATTGGAAGGGGAGGGTGTCATTTCTGATTCTCAACGTAGTATGAGAGCAGCTTGTCAGGCAGAATGTGTGGAGCTTGCTCTTTTGGAGGAAATCTCGTGGCGCCAGAAATCTCGGGCATTGTGGCTTAAAGAGGGAGACCGGAATACAAAGTTTTTTCATAGAACTGCTAATGCTCATAGGAAGAGTAATCATATTGGGCGGATGTGTGTGGATGGTTCGGTCTTGACTTCGGAGGAGGAGGTGCGAAGAGGTATTGTCTCTTTCTACCAACGGCTGTATTATGAGCCTCTTCATTGGAGGCCACGTCTTGATGGTCTTCACTTTGATTCCATTTCTACTTTGGAAAGGGATGGGTTGGAAAGTCCCTTTTCGGAGGAGAAGGTGCTGAAGGCTTAAAAGAGTTACAATGGTGATAAGTCTCCAGGCCCTGATGGTTTCACGATGAGATTTTTGTTAGAGAGCTGGGAGGTGGTTCGGTATGAGATTATGGGCACTTTTCATAAGTTCCATTCCACGGGGTGGTTTGAGAAATCGTTTAACGCATCTTTTATTGCTCTTATTCCTAAGAAGGGTGACGCTTCTAATATCAAGGATTTTAAACCTATTAGTCTGATTGGGTGCATTTACAAACTCAATGCAAAAGTCCTTGCCTTTAGATTGAGGGAGGTCCTGGATGGAGTTATTTCTGAGTCTCAGAATGCTTTCATTGGGGGTAGACAGATCCTGGATTCTGTCCTTATTGCTAGCGAATGTGTGGATGCTAGACTTTGTAGTGGGGCTCCTGGTGTTCTTTGTAAGCTAGATATCGAGAAAGCCTATGATCATGTCTGCTGGAATTTTTTGTTCTATTTGTTGGAGAGGATGGGCTTTGGTGAGAAATGGAGGAAATGGATTATTTCATGCGTTTCCACTGTCAGGTTTTCGGTGTTGGTGAATGGGTCTCCTTCGGGTTTCTTCGGCAATTCTCGTGGGTTGAGGCAGGGGGACCCTCTTTCCCCTTTCCTTTTTATCATTGTTATGGAGGCTCTTAGTAGGTTGATAAGAAGGGCGGTAGAGTTGGGTTTTATCAGGGGTTTCAAGATTGGCCCTGGCTCAGCTCAGCAGTTGGAGATATCTTATTTACTTTTTGCGGATGACACCGTCGTTTTTTGTGAGGCAGAGGTGTCACAGTTAAGGTGTCTGAGATGTGATTTGGTTTGCTTTCAGGCTATTTCTGGCTTGAAAGTTAATGTAGGGAAGAGCGTGATTGTTCCTGTCAGGGAGGTTCAGGAGGTGGACACTCTAGCTGTTGTTTTAGGGTGTGGGACGCAACGCTTTCCTATCTCTTATTTGGGTTTGCCGCTAGGGGACTCGGCCAGGAGGGTGGGAAGTTGGAACCCGGTGATTGAGCGAGTTGAGAGAAGATTAGCGGGTTGGAAAAAGCAATATCTGTCAAAGGGTGGTAAAGTTACGTTAGTGAAGAGTACTCTGTCAAGCCTCCCAACGTACTATCTATCGCTTTTTCAGATTCCAGTCTCTATTGTTGGAAAAATTGAGAGGCTCCAACGGAACTTCCTGTGGGGGGGTCGCGGAGAGGAGTTCAAGTATCATCTTGTCAAATGGGAGCAGGTTTGCAGGCCTTTTCGGTTGGGAGGGCTTGGAATTAGGAGATTGGCCCCTTTTAATAGTGCTCTTCTTGGTAAGTGGCTTTGGAGATTTGGCAGTGAAAGACACAGACTATGGAGAAGGGTTATTTCGTGTCGCTTTGGGGAAGAGAAAGGAGGGTGGTCAGTTAGACCAGTCAGGTTTGCTAGTGGATTGGGGGTGTGGAGGGCCATTGGAAAGGGTTAGGATGTCTTTTCCAAATATATTAGATTCAAAGTTCGGGATGGAAGGAATGTCCGATTTTGGGAGGATTCATGGTGTGAGGATAGACCATTGGCTCTTTTGTTCCCCAGGCTCTTCAAGATCGCTGTTGATAAACATGCTATGGTTGCTGATTGCTATTGCCTTGATAGCGGAAGGTTGGCTTGGGATGTGCGCTTCCGGCGAGCTTTTCAGGATTAGGAGCTGGATGATGTCACTGGGTTTTTGGCTCTTCTCTACAGACAGGAGGTAAAGGGTACTGGTGCTGACTCTTTGATTTGGGTGCTTTCTCCTCAGGGGATGTTCCAGGTTCGATCCTTTTTTGTGTGCCACTCTGGTTTTCATGGTACCTCATTCCCTTAGAAGACGGTATGGTTGTCTAAGGCGCCTCTTAGGGTGGCTTTTTTTGTGTGGACTGCAGCCTGGAGTAAGATTTTGACTTTGGACAACTTGAGGAAGCGAAGACATATCATTGTTAATCGGTGTTGTCTTTGTAAAGCTAATGGGGAGTCAGTGGATCATCTTTTGTTGCATTGTCCTGTGACTCATGATTGTTGGAGTTTGCTCTTTGGTTTGTTTGGTATTCATTGGATCATGCCTCGGACCTCTCAGGAGTTGTTGGATGTTTGGAGGAGCCAATGGGTGGGGGCTCAGGCGAGAGTTTTCTGGAGGGTGACCCCTTTTTGCATTTGGTGGAGCCTTTGGAAAGAGAGGAATGGTAGATCTTTTGATGGGAATGAGTCCTCCATTGGAGTGCTAAATTTTTTTTATTATTTGTACTCTTTTTTGTTGAGGTCAGAGGAGAGACTACTCTTCTCTTGAGGATATTGTTGACTTCATGGGCTCTTTGAGCTCATAGGTTCCATTATGTTTTTGTATAGCTTGGGACGCGTTCCCCTTTTGAACGTTTTTCAATATATTTTACTTATCAAAAAAAAAATAATCCTTATCCCATGGAAATCTTAGATAAGATTTGTCATTATCCCATGGAACTTATCCAATGGAAATCGTTATCCTTGATAACGAAATATTATCTTTCGAAAGTAGAAGAGATGTGGCGGCTGGTCAACACTTAGTTGCCTCTATCGTTAGGTCAAGATAGGTTAGGTTTATTTTTCCCTATCACCAATCATGGACAATATAGAGGCTTCCATCCCAAAATTATTGTTCCTCCAAAAGTTTCCTGTTTTCTCTGTTTGGTTTTGTGTGCTTGGCGGGTTTGACTCACGATTGATGTTCCGGATGTAAAATTTCTGATACTATAGTTCTTGCTAGAACATGATTTATTACCACACAATGCTGCTTGCTTATTTGTGCATAATGTGTGATATTACATCGCAACTTAAATACCATTTGCTCAATTGTTTTCTTGGGAAGTGTTGGGCAGGTTTCTGTTTTCACGTCTATGCATTATGCACATCACATAGTCAGACCATGGTGCTTGATTGATTACATGTCTATGAATTATGACATCCATATTAATTTATTGTTTTTTCTCTCTTAAAGCTATATTAATTAGAAATATTGGTAATCTGTATTCATTTGTGACAAGTAGGATCGCAATTTCCTCACCATGAGAAAGGACATGCAAACTCAGACGCTGAAACGAGAACTCAGGATATACTACCACCACATAATATTGGCAACCACAAAAATACTAAACATCCGCCTCAGGAAATTTATAGGAATCTCAGAAATATTCTGTCGACATCCATCTTCTCAAATCATTCAACAATCGTATCAGAAATTGAGGCTGCAGAGGAGCACGGTAGCTGTGTAATTGATTTTCAAATATAATGTGAACAGCTGTGATATTTCGGGACCTCAAATAAGACTTGCAGTGGAACGATGAATTCTGAACTGATTTCTCCTTGCTTGGTTATGAAGCCCATTCAGCAAATTGTCTGGCTGGAAATCCCTGAGGCCTTCAAATGCAGAAGAATGAACTTCCCCTGTTGGTGTTTGGTGCACTCAGGATTAACAGTCAAAGATCAACTCTTTTTCCATCTAATTTTTGAAAGGTAGAGAAAAATCTCTCTTGGAGGGGAGGGAATGGACTGTCGTAACTACTCCTCAAGTAATAGTATTCTTGTACTGTGTCTTTGTATATTTTTGTTTGATGTTACCTTAACTTATCATTTACTTAAATAATAAATTTTGCCAAGATTTTTGAATGTATTGTCAGATTTCTGAGATGCAATTATTCTTTACATGCCTGTGCCAAAGACGTTACATGCTCCAGTAAAATTTATTTTTCTAAACAATGCTGGCACGCATTCATGTTTTGTAATACGTGTACATTTTCTTTCAGACATCGTCCGTAGATTTATGATAATCATCATAAGATATATACAGATCTATAGCTATTGTCAAGCAAATTGCTTGCTAGAAACAGGGGAAGCCCTGCAAAAAGATTGAAGAGGTTTGATTTACATTGCATGGAGGGTATATAGTGATGTAGACCATATAGCATAAGATCATAATTTAGTTAGATACACCTTATATCTTGTACATATATACACCTAGTGAGCATAACATTATGAATGTACAGATATATTTGTTTTGTTGTAGGGCGACGAATGATGGATATTACTCAAAGAAATAATCAAAATCATTTAATTGACTATATATTAATTGGTTTCATTTTGTTATTGAAATATCAGAAGTTCGCTATAGTCATGTGACAAATGGTCCTTCTTTATTTCCCTATTTGATTATAGGATGAAAATCAAGTTATGTGGTTGATTCAAAAGAAATTAGTTTTGAGTCATATTAACTAATGATTGTATTACTATATATCATTATCAGTGAAAAAAATCTCTTCTTTTTTTCCACACAGAGAGTGGGAAAAGGAACAAGGACAAAATCACGGGGCTGACAATGGTTCTTCTGGAGTTTGTTGGATGTGCCCACACACTGTTAACAGGACAGAGAATCTCTCTTTAATGTGTTTGGTTGTGTGTGTCTCTCTCTCTGATGCTACTAGGTTGGGCACTAGATTGTCAAAGAGAGAAACTCACGGGACTCCAATCACCAACCCCCCCTCTCTATATATATACACCTATATTATATAGGCATGCCACAACAAAAATATCGCAACTAGTCATCTAGTTCCATCTTCAATTGTAGAGCGAGAGAATGCAGGACTCCAAATTATCTGTCTATCAAAACCCAGAAGCTGAACTGGATGAGGCCACACGATTCGACAAGTCTCTTCAAGTTAGTGTCCATATATATATATACACACACATATATATATCCTTTCTCCAAACTCAGAGCAATGTGCTTCTCTTTGCTTATTAATTACTTTTTAATTGCACGTTAAGTTCATTTCGATTTTGACTGATTGTAGGAACTCAGAAACTTGCGTTCTCAGCTTCACTATGCTGCGGATTACTGCGAAGCAACTTTCTTAAATGCCAAACAGAAGAAAATGTGAGTACTACACCCTCTATGTCCCATGACAGTCTACTAACAGCTTAAGCTACTCTTCTCTCTGTGTACACCCACATGTATAAAAGATTTTGTTCATACAGTAACGGTTAGAAAGCTTATCATATACAGGCATTGTTACAACATATAACAACGACCAATAACAGAAAATTGTAAATCACACACGTACCATATAAAATACACAGTTTTGCTCACGGATGAAGATTGGTGAAAAGCTTTCACTATACGAATAACAAATGAAATTTAGGTCTAGGCTAGGGCTGCTGGTTGTGTTAAATATTACGTTTGTCCTACTCCATTTCTATTTTGGGATTCTCAAGTTGCATAAAGTACAAAAACAGGGAAAAGAAAAATCTAGAGAATCATATATGAGATTTTCACCTAATACGGCTCCTCGTTCAATTCTTTCAAAGCCATTGGATCTTTTTTCTCGTTGAAACCATAATTCAGTGAACAAACTGGTGGTGTTATTTTAAATTTAGCGATTAAATTATACTAATTTTTTCAAAAGCTTATCAGTAGTTGTAACGGCCTCCAACAGTACTCCACTTTCCTTTAGATTTTGGATGCAACTTGGATTTAACTCAATCCAAATGCAGTTCAATACCTCAATTCAAGTTGAGCTTTGAAAAGAGCATAAACTGTTAACTCAACCTAGTATATTATAAATAGTACTATTATTGTTATTTAATGGAAATGTTTCTTTCCCCGAATTCAACAATGCAAAAATAACATCATGTGAACCCTATAAGAGCAAATTAATTGATCATATTCTAGTGGCTTTGTTTAGTCATTTTCAATTTCTATGGCAATGCTCATTTGATAATATATATTCATGTATATAATGCAGTGTTGTGGAGAACACAAAAGAGTACATATGCAGGGCTATGGTCACAGTTGTTGATCATCTCGGGAATGTCTCAGCTAATCTAGACCACGGGCTTTCTAAGAATGATGTCGCCACACAAACAGAGCTTCGAATGGACTGCTTGAAACAAGTTAGTTTCTCTCTGTTGATTAATTATCGTAGTGGTATCAAATCACTATTTTCGGCACAGCCCGTGACATAATTTAATTGTTGTTATCATAGTGCTATCAAATCACTTTTTCTTTTTCTTTTTTTTTTTTTTTTTTTCAATAGAGACTCACGACATGCCAACAATATGGTCACAAGCTTGCAATAACCAAATTATGCTGGAGGTCTGATGTGCCAAGATATCACCCACGTTATATCTCTCCACGTAATTTGAACATACGAGTTTGCTGCTAATAGATTGTCTGCATAATAATTTACTACATATTATATATGTGTGTGTATATATATTTATATATTTGAATGCCACTTTATTTATTTTTTTCCTTCCTTGATCAGCAATCCCAGGTCAAAATGAAGTTTCGAGGTAAGATCTTTTCGTCCTCATTAATGCTTATACAAAGGGTGCTTGTTTAAGTACATTGTGCCTGAGAAAGCAAATCTTTTCATTGGGATTGCAATGTATTTGTTATACATGTAATATATTTCCTGCACGACGTTGGAACAATGATAACTTAAATTGAGTCAATATGGAAAAGAACTACCTAGTGTAATCAAACTTCTAAGCTTCTTTGGAGTAAAAATAATGACAAATATATTATGTATGAATAATGATATATGAGTTTTGAGTTTTTATCATGGTGTTAATAAACTTGCTATGTTGCAGGAAATATAATAGCCCAATTGCTGCTAAAACTATAAAAAGGCATGGATTTGAATCACATGAGGAAGTGCCACTTTTTTTATGCACATATAATCACAAGTCGTCTCTAGCTAAAGGTTTAACGGCAAAAATAGGTGCCAATGAAAAAGAGCCTAGTTCATCTTCAGGTAATACAATTTTGCCTGTGAGAAGCTATAAATTTGTCTATTGTGAACATCTATAAATTTGTTTATTTTGATCATCAAACTTGAGGTCACGTTCCCAACCTTAGGAGGTTGGGAATACCATAATTGCTTCTCTAATCTTCATACTCTTTCTTCTTTTATGCAGTATTGCCTGTTCGTGATGGCCTGTGTTTGAATCCAAAATCTCAAATTCCTTTTCAATTTGAGGTGAATTAACTGTTCTGTTGGTATTGCTCCGTAGATGTAGATGCATATGTATCCACTTCTTATTCTCAATATCTTGATTTTATTTTTTGTTGCAGGGTACCCATAAGCATAAACGTCACTTGCTGAATTGGAAAACAGTGCAGAATAGTGATATCTTATCACTAATTCGGAGGAGTAAAAGAACAACATAAATATTAATTTGAAGTCTCTTTGAGGTTCCATTTGATCATTTCTCTGAGGTTTGGTGATTGAAATAGTGCTTTCTCATCCTGTTTTTTATTAAATCAGCTTAGTTGAAGGTCAGTATGCCTTGTGTAAGTGGAAAGATTGTCAGCATTATGAACATCGTGTATATGCTGAGGCAAGTTTGCGATATAATGTGAATTAAGTTGTTGCATTTTAGTAACTCCTTAACTCCTTGCAGATGGTGCTGGTGTGAGGGTTAAATTGTTTCTTGGGGGTACATGAAGTCAAAAGGGTTAAAAGGCAATGAATCTTTGAAAAACAAATGAAAGAGACCTAATATGGATGTTTAACATTGAACAATATACAGAAGCTAAAAATCAATTAAGCTAGAAAGGACATCTAATATGCATCAAACCCAATATTTAGTTATACTTCCCTATCCAGAACAGGAAGGAAGAACAACAAAAGTGATTCTAACCCAATAGATGACTCACTTCAGCTTCAGTGGGTCTGAATATTTACATTCAAAAATCAAAACCTACACTAAGTTGCTTGTTTATCTGTCTCTCAGCTTTCCTCTATTTTAAAATTTTCATTTTCTCCTTGCTCATTCTGCTTCTACGTTACCACTGCTAATGGCGAGCGGTTGGACTTCTTAGGCCACCGAAGTTCTCGAGCTTCTCAATGTAAGACATTTTTTTGTGGGTCACAATGTTAGCAAGTTTGCTCATGAACTTCTCATGTTCATCCTTAACGGAATCATCCAAGTCATCTGTTGATTGATTCATTTTCATTTCCGTCTCTCCCTTATCCGCATTCCAACCCATGAAATCAGATAGTGTCTTTGAAGTTGGTGTCTCTGCAGCAGTACCCAGCTTCTCTGGCTCTTCGCTAAGGCTCGGGGAACTCCCCAGTACTGCCATTGGCGAGCATGCCATTGAAGATTTCCTTTCAGACATTGCCAGTGATGGATCTAGAGCAAGAGAGTCAGCATAGAGAACATCTTCAATACGAGACATGACTGTGTTGGCCAAGCTTTCCAGTACCCTTGAATAGCTCTCTAGGATTGAATATCCCACATCCTGTGTAATTCAAAAACAAAACAAAAAATTTAAAAAGAAAGAGAGAGAGTAAACACTACTATTCGTTAAAAACAAGATGTTTTTGCATTCTTACTTGTTCTTACCATGTTATATTGAATTTTACTTATGTCTAACGATGATTGAGGAATTCCAGGGAACCGCTGTTTGAGTAGGAGTAAAATGGTCTCTGCTCTCTCTTCAAAGAGCTCTCTCTTCTCCATTCTCACAGCTGAACTCCAAGAAGACTTTCCATCTTTCTGGTGCATTTTCCTTGTCCAAATCACAATAGAAGCCTCGATTCTATTCTTTAAGTCGAGAACTTTGTGCTCTGTTGACATGTCCATGGTTGAAAGAAAATCCTCAGGATCAAAGAATTCATCTGTTATACTCTTATAGATTGATTCTCCGAGGCTCGATCTACCATTCTACCAAAGAAAATATATATATATATATATATATATATATATTAGAGGGGTAAAAAATCAGCCAATCTTTAGTACTGAACTAGTGAACTTTCCTAGAACTAGTCTCTTGAAAATTTTCTTTTCAGCTTATACCTTAGGGAGGGATTCAATGTAGTTCTCAGGGATCTCCATTTCTGATAGTATTTGAGCATTTATGGCCATGGAGGCTTTGAGTACTTGGTTCACAGAGTCCTTTTGAAATTGCATCCATTTTCGCGACATATCTGATAGCCCATCTTGGGGAACCTTCACAGTAGGTAGCCACCATTTGTCATCTCTCTGGCTGCCTTGCTCAGACTCATCAGCATCTCTCGAGACATACCAGAATTCATTCTGGTCTTTGAAGTTATCTAGACAGCCCTGTTCAATTTCATCTTATCAGATTGATAGATGATATAGATCATAAAGAACTATGGTCATCTCTGATTAGTAAATACACACACATATAAGGCAGCAGGTGTTGCAGATTCTTACAATAAGCATTGCGTCGAGCTTGCGCAAGGCTGGGATGTTCAGGAGCAGATCCATTCTTTGTTGTGTCACCATTATCTATAAGTAGATCAGAATGTGGAACTGTGTTTAGTATATAATAAGGTAGCATCGTGATCAAACATGATGGTGCAGTGATAGTTTATGACATCTTTTAAGATTTAGAATACGAAACAAGAAGAAGATCAGTACAAACACATAGAGGGAGGGAGACAGAGAGAGAATATTGACCTCCATATTTGTTCCATCCTTAGATTTTTGTTGAGAAGGGACCAATTCGACAATGTAATCTGTTACTGATAAAAGCCAATCCATCTCTTTTTTCCACCTAGCTTTCCTATCTGGAGACATGGGTTCCAACTTCCTTTGTTCTCCAAAAACAGAAGCTGTATTACATCAGAAATAATCAAGAGAAAATATCATGATTTGTAGTCTTTTACCATTTTTTAGTTCTTATGATAAAAGACTGTAGTACCGAAAATGATCAACTCTAGTTAATTAAGGACAAATTCAAACTCACCAGCAAGATTTGTTATGGCATTTGACAAAGCTAAAGCTGATGAAACACCCTTCCCACCACCTGACATATCTTCTCCCAACAGCAGCTTAGCAAACCTTTCCTTCATCAATTCCAAATCTAACCCAAACAACAAATATCAAAATTCAAAACTGATGAACATCTGACATAGCGGAAGCTATAAAAGCGTTCACAATTTGAATCCACAAAGTAGGGTGTTTTAAATCCATAAAACAAGAGATAAATTCATAAAGAATTCTGAAATATTATTATTATTTTTTTTAATTTAGGAAAAAAAAAAGGTCGAATTTTTTTCTGCACATAGTAACAAATAAAACTCTAAAACTATAATGGAAATTAATAGCAAAAAACAAACTAATTGATTAAGTAAACTAAAAATATAAAGAAACTAATTGTAGAAGGAAATTTTAAAAAAAAACCTAAAATTAAATTCCTTAAGAATTATAAAAAAGGTAAAAAAATAATATAAAATCTAATAAAATTGTCCTACATCAACGTCATCAGACTTCCTAATAACTAATGATCCATGCTAATTGATGCACGTATTTGTCAAATTATGAAGAGTGGTTTAAGCTCTTGGTGTAGATGGTGATTATAAACAAATATACGTGTAATTATATATGATAAACGCATGAATGGAAGTACCACCATATATATATATATATACCTGAATGTGGCCGGTTCCGGGGACTTCCTGTAATTACCCCTTCCCTGCTCAATCGCGATATTGGAGCCTTATCAGTAGACCGACTAAACACAGATCCTATTTGCTGGGGCTCCAATGTTGCAGCCTTTGCAGGTTGACTTCTAGACAGCATCTTTTCATCCCCACCATTTTCACCCTCAAGGATCATACTATGAGCCTGTCGTCCTGGAATCTCAAACATCCTCTTCAAATGGAAAGACCGAAACTTCTGAATGCTGTGTTCCTCTCTAACCATGGTACGGATTTTGACTATTTTTTTTTTTGTACGTATTTGAACCATGTATCAAACATAGTAAGAGTTTTCATGGCAATGTTGAATTAAGTCCCTTTTCAGAAATAAAAAAATAAAAAGGTTCCTATTTTTCTGAAAAAATTAAAATAAAATTAAAAATATAAAAGGAAAACGTATCAGGAATGAGAGGATAGAGATTGAAATGGAAAAGGGTTTTCAAGATTATCCCAATTAATGGTAGTTTGAGTAGTTTTTGAGGTATTACTTCTTTTTTTTGAGCAAAGGGACGTGGGTGCATGTCTGATTTTGAAACAAAAGGGTGGTTGGTATGAAAGAGTGTTTTTTGGGTTTGTTTTGAGGAATGAATGGTTGGGTTTTTCACTAGTGCCAAAAAGTACGGGAAACACATTCTCTCTCTAACAGCCACCCTTTCACCCTTCGTTTTCTCCTTTTGCTTCTTATCAGAAAGTAACAAAAATTCAAATTCTATCTGGACTGCCAGCATGTCAAGGCCACCTCCAAAATGACAATCACATTAATGGTTATCCAATACTCCTCCTTCCAGAGAGGGTTGGAGTCTCCCCAAGTGTGGGAGTTTCTTTGGCGAGTAAAAACACACACACACACACATATATATATATAATCAATAGCAGGTCTTAATTAATTACAATTGCAACATACTGATATGAAGTGAAATTCAATCATGATATGCTACAATTTATTGACTTGGAATATATCTACGTACAGATAAACAAATTGCATGTGGCTTCACATTCATTCCTTTTCATATGATATGAGAACCTTCAAAGACTCATGAAGCAACAGGAGGAGTTAGCAATATCCTTATGAAGAAATCACATAATCCTATATTCTTTTAAATCAGCTTAATTTATCTAAAAGTGTTCAAAACCTCATTTAAGAACTATCAACATTTATTGTTAAGCAAGTGTCTTGAGTGATTGGGTTGCTCCTTGGGGACCCAATCCTCTCCTCTAATCATTAAATTCAATATTCTTACCTTAAAAAATAAAAAAGAAAAAAATTATTGTTAAAAATTAAAGAAAGAGTCAACCTTAGTGAACCTACCATTTCTGATAGTATCACCTTTTAAGTAAAATTTTTTTTAACAAAAAAATTTATACTTAAAAGGTACAAAGACACTAGAAACCAACTCATTTTATGAGGAAAGGAGTTGGTAAAATGGTTTTTACAAATGTATTGGGTACGCTCTTAGCCTCTCACTCTTCGTATCTAAAACTTCCGAAAAAAAAAAAAAAAAAAAGGACAATTTTTGCTCCCTTCTTTTTTGCAGTAAAATATTTTTTTTTTAGAAAATATTTTTATTTTTCAGGTAAAATATTTTTTTCAAATTTTTTTTTGGCGTTTGGCAAAGGTGTAGGTCAAAATTGAGGTCGAATTTATCAGATGAGACGTATGGATAAATTATTTTTGTTTAAGTTTAATATTTTAGGATTTAATTGCCAAGAGTTATTTCAAATTTTAATGTGAATGATAAGGTACTGTTTGATTAAAATTGAAAATTAAGTGAATATATTAAGAGCTGAATTTTAAATAATTTTTTTTTTTTTTGAAGTAATAACGTTTTTAGTACTATTTAAGTGTTTAATTTGTTCAGAAGCGTAGTTGAATTGAATTTAGTCAAAAGGCTTTGAAGTAAGAGTCAAAACCATACCCTATTTATGTTAACCGCCAAAGGGAAAAATCATTAGTTAGTTACATTTATGATGGACACCAAAAAAGAAAACAGAACACAATGTCTTTCAACAAGAGTCTCGTGACTGCATTTAAACATGCTTTTTGAGTTGCTTGGCAATTATTTACCGTGCATTCACCACCAATGCAAGCTTAGTTGATATATTAAATAATGAATGCTGCACTGGCCTCCTTTTTTCTTTTTTTTTTTTCCTTAAAGCAGATTAAGGTATGAATTTCTTAAATACATATGATGGAGTGCAATTATGGTTGGTTGTTACTGTGTTTCTGGTTAGAGTTATGAATCAAATTTAAAGCTTGCTCTCAAATTGTTACATGAGTGTTCTTGAAAGTCCGTCCGTACTAAGCAGTTGAACTTGAAAAATATGTGCGGGTGTAAAGATTTGTACTTTGAATTAATTGATATGAGCACCAATGGACCTCGGTTTGATGGGTAGTATAGACGCTAATAAATATTATCCCGAGGCCCGAATTTATTAGGTGTATATTAGTAATTTTTACACTTATATATTTATTTATTCTAAAATGTCTGTTTTTATAAAGTTTTGAAACTTTTGGACATGCTGTAATTTTGAATGAGCCAAATAATATATGCCTGTTCTTATTACGTATGTTTGATTCGATTTTTATTTATTTAATTTTACAATAATGGTGTAATCTCTGTTAAAAAGGTGGTTGAGAAGTAAACTTTAAAATAAATAAAATAACCAAATGGTGTGACTCCTATATATCCGTGATGTGAATCCAATTTGTCCTTATTCAAATCTCTCTCAATTTGTCCGTATTCATATCTCTTAAAAAAAAAAAATCTCCCTTCTTAGCGGATTAAAATAATATTCTTTCTATCTTAAAATATGTATCATATTTTTTTTGTTTGTGTCAAAATAACAGTTTATTTTTTTTTAAAAAATAATATATTTCATGTACTTTAAGTTTAAAATTTTAAATTAAATTTAAATATTCAAAACTTAAAAAATAAAATTAGTAACTATTCAGAAAGACAATACATGCGGACTTGCTTCCTTAATACTTCTAGCAACCAACACTCCAAACGGGTCCAAAACAGTACATATATATCCCAATCCGGAACATGAATTGTGTCAAGCGGGGACAGGTTTCAACCGGTCGGTTGATCATGCAGATCTACTTTCCATTTCATTATTGGACAAAAAGCACCATACCCACCTAAATCGAATTAAAAATGTATGATTATTGCATTATGTATGCGTTATTGACAGCATACAATATACAATGGTTGAAAACACTTATTTCCTAATCATTGCAGTGGTCTCAACCATTTCAACAATTTTCCCGCTGAAACCCGGGATCAGACATCAACCATCTACCTAGAGCCCCTATTTTTAGACTGATCAGAGGTTTGGAATCGATCTATGCAAGGAAACCATTTCCATGGATTTGACGGTGGAGAACATTTTTTTTGTTTTTTACCAAATTGCCCCTAGACAGACCATGTTCCCAAACAGTCCCTCGAAGAACAACAAATTGCAAGTTTATTATTATTATTATTATTATGTTTTAATTCGTGCCCATTTCCACGGCAGTTTCACATCTCCACAATATCTATTTTGAAATTGTGACCCCACCTTCTCTTGTCGTCGTGCTTTTGAGTAGATTTCTTTCCTTTGGCAATCTGCAGTACATATACGTCAAGAATCAATTGGGCTATTAAATTAAGTAGACATTCAACCATTTTATTTTGTACCCATTACACCAAGAGTATCAAACAAGAGGCAAGACCAAACAAACCCATCTCTCGGAGAGTATTTGAAATGTAGATATAGATATTGAAGAGGGTAAACCATATAAAGTTAAAAATTTCCTGCTATTTTTTTTTTCTGATTCTGTGGATCTGAGGTCTCTCTCCGAGCTCACATGCAGGTGTGTTTGCTTTGAAACTCTTCTTGGTCAGTTTTTATTTGAGAATTGTACTGCATTCATTTTCTCATCTGGGTCTTTCAATTTTCTTTCCTTCTTTTGTTTTTGATTTGTTTGGCTTTCGAACAGAGGCTAAATGAGAGAGAATTAGGCTGATCAATGTTTCGAGAAGCTGGTTGTTAGCAGGAAATTTGTCCAAGAATTCAGGTCTTCATGGCTGAAACTTACATGAAAGGATGATTGCTTTCTGTTTGTCATGTATATTTAACTTTTCCAGTGGATTATATTCAGTTAATTTATGTTTCATGTTCAGATCCATCATTTCAAGTTTTACCAATAATGCTCTCTCTCTCTCTCTCACACGCAACATTTAGAAATTAGTGAGTAATTGTGAATTCAACATAACTAACCGCTCTTGTTTAAGAGTTTCGATAAGAGAATGATTTTGAGCATTTTATATCTCAACTGTTTTCTTTGTTTCGTGGACAACTGATTCTTTATTATGCTTTCTTTTCAGCCCATCATTGAAAATTTTGATTACAATATACATAATAATGTATGCATTTTATGCCAATTTACTTTAACTTCGTCCATTTGGTTTTGGTAGAGCACTAGTAGCATCTGACTTTGTCAATGGAATTTTCCCTCGTAGAATATGCCTCAAGACAGTTTCAGATACAGATCATTTGTCACATGTGATGATCCGAAAGGTGTGGTTGAATATAGGACAATCAGAAAATCCAAGATGAACTCTCAAAAAAATGAGGGTAGAGTCAAAAGCTGTAGAACACAGAAGAATCTCAATGCGTCTTCTACGTGCGAGGGAAAAAGAGAGGAGACAGTCTCTAAAAGGATTGCAGAAGAATTTGATAACCCATCTTGCTGTCAACTGATGGAGGTCTCTAAAGGAGCTCACAAGTTGAATGGGGTGATTGACTCATGGTCTAAAGGGGCACCCTTTGATGGCAATTCTAAAGATATTGCAAAAGATTTGTTGAAAGGAGCTCTTGATCTGCAGGAGTCTCTAATCATGCTCGGCAAACTACAAGAAGCTTCGCAATATAGCGCTAAGTTGAAGAGAAAACAGGAGAAATCGGAGAGAGGAAGAATTGATAAAATGGGGGGTGAAAGAATGAATTCCAATCCATCTGAAGATCATAATAACCAAATGGGATTTCAAAATCCAAGATTTTCTGTTGATAGCTCTTCAAGGGATGGTTTTGAGGAGCTTAGGCAAGTGATCAGGGATAGCCTTGCTAGGCAAAATCTGCTGCCAAACAGTTCCGCCAAAGAAAAGGTTTATTGTGATAGGAGAACACTGGATTCAGCTCTTGATATGCCCTCCACTAGCTCAAGCCATTCCTCAGTTGATCTCTCCCTAAAATTTTCCTCTTCTGAGAGTTCCCTTTCATCAAATGCTGCGCAGAAGAAGCCAACTGGTTCAAATGTAATTGCCAAGCTTATGGGTTTGGAAGAAATCCCTTCAAAACCATTGCAATCCAATTCCCGAAAACAGTTAGAGATCAACAAAGTTTCAAAGCAGAGAAGACATATATTTAATATCGATATGCCAAAGCCCAGAAAACCTCAGTTCATTGTTCAGAGGGTGGATCCAGAAGAGAAGACACTGAAAGAAATACTCGAATGTATGCAGTTTAAAGGAGTTTTGAAAAGCAATTCAGATGAAGGGTTAAAGCCTCCATCGTGTTATCCTAATTCTTGCCATTCTAACAAGAGGTCCTTTAATGATGCTCCACCTATTGTAATTGTGAAACCTTTGCATTTTTCATCTCTAGAGGCAGAAACGCCTCGAAGGCAGAGTTTTATTTGGGAAGACAGAGCTTTGGACAGTGAAGAGATGCTCAGGAAATTGAAAAGAAAAGAAGAGCTTCTACCAAAAACCATTGACAGCAGAGAACTAGTTTGGAGCTCCAATGAGATGTGCAGAAACATGGAAGCAAAAGAACCTCTAATTAAAAGGCTTAGTCAGGAAGAAGTTAAAGACTGTGAAGAGGTAGATGCAAAATCAGAAGCAAAAAAAGTGAAGACTAAGGAGAAGCTGCCTTCCAATAAGATGAAACCTTCCGTTACTGTAAATCCCAAAGCAAAGAAGGAATCAATTGAGAGAGAAGTGGACAAGATTCATAAGGTGACACCCAATAGAAGGAAATCAATACAATTTGAGAATGGAAAATGCATTGGTGCTTCTAGATCTCTTGATCAAGCCAAGTTGATCTCCACCGAAGTAAAAGAGCCCAGGAAAGGATCAAACATATTGAAAAATTATACTGCTCAACAAGAAAGAATACCCTCAAATCCCACTTCAAGACGTCCAAGACCTGTGAAATCTCCTAGCTCCACTAACCGGGAAAAGAATTCGAAGAGTGAAAAGGCAGTTAGCGAGCCCTTGGCAGCTGAGTTAAATGTACGTTTTCCTTTTAATCCACTGTTTTTTTGGTCTTGATGTACTTTACTTTTGGAACTTCTGTTCATCCTCGAAAATCTTCATGCATCTATTGCTGTTTTGAAATTCATTAAGGAGATGTAGAAGCATGGTGCAGAAATTAGTCTGCTCCAGGATAATTGATAAAAAAATTGATATGACTGATGTCATTTCAGGCTGAAACTATAGGGTGCAAGGAAGTTACCAAGATAATCAACACTATGCTTGAAAATGAGCCTGGTCTGATAAGAAATGACACTGCATCGGCAGATCAACTCCTCACTGAGGAAGGAGCAGATTTTTCTGATAGTTGGATCAAAGGTAATGCACATTCTTAGATACCACCACCCTGCTACTAATGGCTGAAAAGGTTTTCAATTGTAGTGCTTTAGGAATATCTCAAAATTTTGTATGCACATATGCATTTTATAGAAAACTATTTCAGGGGGAATCTTGTTATCTGAGAAACTATCAGGCAAGAAAACTATTTTCTAATTATTTTTAAAGAAGCAATCATGGAAACTGTTTCCACCATTGTTATTTAGCACAAACAATCATATACAGATTTCAGTAGCCATCAGATGTAGTTTTAATCATTATTCTCATCACTGGCTTGTTCCACCTCGTGGATTTAAGCAGTTCGTTCATTCTCCTGATGGAACAAGGGTAACTTGCAAAGAGAACCACATATAATTAGCATTTATTGCCACTTAGATGTCTACACGATTGTACTCTGTAACTGTAAGTCTGTAACTGGAAAACAAAAACTTGTTAATAGGAGCTATTCGACCTTGCGATGCATATGTACGTTCTTTAGTTTCTATAGAAATGAATTGTGTTGCTGTTTTTTATGACTTAATATCTTTGGTTGCAGAACATTGCATTAATAGCCAGAATTCGCTCTGTGAGGTTACACTACAGACAATCCAACATGAAAGTAGCATCCAGTCTTCCGAAGAAGCAAGCTGTTACATCAATCGTGACAATACTGAGAAAAAATGCTTCAGAACCATAACAAATCAAAAAGATTTGCTCTTGAGTAACCTAACATTCCTTAGCCTTGCAGAGGAGCTCTTCAATATCAATGCAAATCAACTTGCACTCTCGCAGACAGTGAGTGTAAATGATTCTGGAATTACTGATAGCAGACTCTTTGTTGACTGCGCAAATGAGCTCATGGAACTTAAAAGTCTTCAATGTACACGAACTGTACGTCCGTTTTTACATGCCCTCATGCAGAAGTCAAGAACTTGCCTCTCCCTAGACCAACTGGTGGAGGAAGTTTGTAATGAAATAGAGAATCTGAGAAGCTGTGATAAGCTTGCGGGTGAAAACCTTCCCATAGAAAGTTTTTATGCAGTTATGGAGAGAGATCTGAAGACCGAGGGAGTGATGATGAGTCGAACATGGGATTTGGGTTGGAGGGATGGATATACCATGAGTGAAGTTGAGCTAGTTATGAGTAACATAGAGAAGCTAGTTCTAAGTAGCTTAATCGAAGAAGTGCTTGCAGACTTTGTCCTCTAGAATTTCATTTCTGTTCTATATGGGGTTTAGAGGCTAGTATTACTAATTTCTGTAAATAAGGACACTTTGGCTAATACTAGAGGGAAGAGTATACTCCAAATGATTGCTTGTGACATCAAGGGTTTTATCACCCTTTTCAAAAGATCAACTTATGAATGGTTTGGTTAATATTTGATGATCAGGATTTGGAGACAAACTTTCTGCTGACATAATTTATATATTTATGTTCTAATATGCAACAATGGCCCTAATTCTGATTACAGGAACCTGATGAGTGTCCTGAACACTGTTCTCATGGAAAAGGAGAATATGAGTTTAGTCAAACCGGATTCATATTTTTGTGCACAGTAAACAATCGATAAGGTAAATTCTCTTCTTCTTTTTTTCAGTCTACATCTATAACTTGTGTTGCTAAATGTATAGATGTGAATTTTTTTTTTTTTTTTCCAACTCTAAAAATTTGACACACTCTGTTTGGATGATGTTGTGTTTCTCTATTTCTGAAGATTGCATCATCTGGGGTTAATATAATATGCATTTTGCAGTGTCACATTCGGTTATGAATTATGGTCACATATTTTATTTCCGAGGGAATGACTCCAGTAAATGCAATTTGGCTCTGGCAACTTATAGGTCCTTGTGTTGTAGTTCACCTGAATAGCCAAGAAGAACCTCAAACCTCATAACCATTGATCTAAAGCATCAAAAAAATGGGAAATTATGCAGTATTCGAAGTAGCTACTCAACATCAATAATATATATTAAGTTCTTTATAACATAAAAGGCTATCTCTCTCTCCCTTATTATTTTTTTTTTTTTCCTTTTTCTGGATACTTGGATTAGCAAATTAAGAGCTTGCTATGTAAGATAAAGATTGCAGACAAAATGGGATGCCGGAGTAATCTCGTAAAACTCAAAATACAGGGGAAAAAATTGATCAGCAATTGATTTCATATTGAATAATTTATGTATTTTTAATTAGTTGCAGGAAACTGAATATTTTGGTAATGAAGGAGGATGTATGTGGCCTTCTGTGAAGGTCCACTGATTGAGCTGGAGATGGGGACATTTTAACTGCTAGTCTCCCATATCTACAAAACACTTTAACTGCTAGTCTCCCATTTCTACAAAATATTATACATAACTAATTGTCATACACAGAAGAACCCTATGGCACCTCCAAGAGAGTGCCCCCAAGAACTCCTCCCCCCTCTCTCTCTCTCTCTCTTCATAGTACCATCAAGATTAATTCAAGAAGAGGCAGCCTTGAAGATTAGAAAATTAAGGGTCTCCATTGCAAAGTAGATGAAAGTCCCTTGTGAATGAGTGAAGAAACAACCAAAGTTTGAACCCACCACACATTGCCATCCACACCCATATATCTTATCAAACTCCTGCAGATGTGAGCCCCAAAACGATTCAAATTTTTACTTAACTAGCCAAACAAAAGATTGATTTGTTATGTTAAATCCTTATTATAAAACACAGTAAGAAAAATAAAAATAAAAATAAAATACCTTCTTGATGTGAGAAGCTATTGAGATGCAGTCAGAGACATCATAGCGATCAAGAGCTTGAGAAGCAGAAGCCATGGCTTGGATCTGCATCTTATATGGCATGTCTGTTTCCTTCACCAGAGCTTTTCCTTCCAGCATTTTTTTTTTCTCTCTCTCTCACTCTAGAAACACGTTTCCCCTCTCTCACTAGATGTCTTGTTCTGGAATCCCCGGATTAGTGGGAGAATTATTGGTTTTAATAGTAGAGCATAGTTTGGGACTAGAAACTTCGCTCTATTGTAGTTCAGTCAGCTTTCTTTGTTCCACATTTACCAGTCGTGAGGGACTAATCTAATTTCATTTTGTACTTTTTCTCTAGACTTGACCTACAAAAGGATACAGCCAGATTTTGATTCTATTTTTTAAATGGATAAACTTGAACAGAACCTTCGCTTGAATAGACTTGCAAATAGGTGTCTGATAAATGTTTATTAAAATTTACAAATAATGATTGTTTTTAAGAAAGTAATAAAATATGATAAGAATTAAAAATATAATATGGTCCTGCTAATCTCAAGCGCAAGCTGAAAAAGTAATTGCCTTTAATTGGCTGTCCAATTATTAAAAAAGAAAAAGAATTTAAATTGTATGCAAATATGTGGAGTGTGAACCACTTGGTACGCGTTTAACAGAAGAACTATAAGTATGGGTCTGTCGTCTAGCAGCGTACGATCGCTGACCATCAATAAACTCGTCGTGGATGGTTGGGTGTTCATCTGTTTTCACATATATAACATGTGTGAGTTCAGATTGCTTAAACAAACCGGCCAGCCCAACAACCGAATCTGGACCCTATCATGCAGGTAAAGCCCAGACCAGACTAAGCCCATGCCTCTTGGGTCATGAATAATAATAATGGACCAAACAGTGGAAGGATTCCAGACAAATACTACGCAGTAACAAAGTCAAAAAAGTAGTGTGGCTGTGAACAAGCTTTCCGACTAAATCATGATAATCACGGCATTGAGAATTTTCAGTGAATCAAAGAAAATAAGAACACGACTCACTAGTCAATTTTGGAGATAGATATATTTTATCTCCATATATGTACAAGTTCTAGACAGGAGAAGGAGAGATTGATTTTTACCGATCTCACTTGCGTGCGATCCTTTTTCTTTCCTATTAAATTTGATAAAACTCTTGTAAAATATTTAAGAAGAAAAAAATATTAAAATTTAATAAAAATAACTTATCTATTAATTTTTGACAAGTTATTTTACATGTCCCGCTGATGAACTTGACCTTAATTTAGACGTAGACTTTTGCCAAATATCGAAAAAATAAAAATAAAATAATATTTTATTTGAAAAAAATATATATATTTAAAAAGAATATTTTACGTCGAAACAAATGGAGCCTTAATGTTAAAATTTTTACCCGACAATTTAACAACTAGATGATTGTCTGCTAATCAACTTTAATTATAGAAGTATTATATTTAATTTAATGCTATTACATCAACTTTAATTATAGAAGTATTATATTAATTTAATGGTAACTACCTCAACTTTCTAAAATAAAAAGGCCATTACTTATCAGAATTATATATATAGAGATACCTAAACCATGAGACTATTTAAAAATTTTCATAAGATCTAAATCATCAAAACTACTTAACTAACTCGATTTTAAAATAGTAAGTTGGAGTAGTTACTACTTTTCTTCAATTTTATACATGGGAAGAAGCAATTTGGAAAAAAACCAATTTGGCAAAATAATATTCCAATCAAAATTCAAGAGATCCAGTTTGTATATAATTTTTCTTTTACCAACATTATAATGCACTTGTCATTAGCTAATTAATGACGTTTAGTAATACAAGTCAAATCAAAGAACAAGAACAAATTTAAAGACAAAAATATAAGAATAATAAAATTAAATTATAACTCGGTGGGAGAGCGAAATTGCTGCTCCGAAGTTACATTATTGATTAAAGTGCAAATGCCGTCCTATTATTTTCTAATTAAATATAAATTGACATATACTATGTATCTATCCACCTAAAAGTTGGCACGTTATGATTGGTGCCAGCTCATCATCACCATATGTTGAATGTTCCGTTTAATGAGCGGTATAAGACATTTTTTCTCGAAGTCCTCACACGTCATGTACCCGCACTTTTCCTGACATTATTCTAACATTATCATAAATCTCCCCATGTATAATATTAATATATTAATGTTATATACATAGAATATATAACCAGAAAAATACAGGGAAAGTAATATATCTGAGAGGGAGGAACAGAAGAGTTTGGGGCTTAGGGGTCATTTGGTGGGGCAAAGAGAGTAGTGAGTGTGAGTTGAATTTGAGGGGCGTTTGATGGGCGATGACAAATCGTCGTCTAAAGTAATGGCAAGCAGAGAAAGAGATCGAGAGCTTCTCATACCAGTTGCCGACTCTGTCAACGATGACGCATCTTCCAAGCCCTCCTCTTCTTCCTCCCCATCTTCTTCTCATCACTCCGGTCGCGAGGTATCATCTCTCTCTCTCTCTATATATATATATATTTATATATTATATGTGTGTGGTCATTTCCCCTAATATATTGACTAATGATTGGAGTGGTTTTAGTTTCAATCTTTGATATAGTTTAGGGTTTTGAAGGAATTTATAGTAGTTTTGTTGATTTGGGTTGTCTTGTATTTCAATCTGTGTGGCTTGTGATATGGTTCGTGATACGTATTTAAAGAATTGTGTTGATGATCATTGTGATTTGGTTACTTAGCTACTATGTACATTTGACTTTGGTTAGTAATTCTTTTGGGGTTGAAGCAAAACAGAGTTTGGTTCTGTATATCTTGTTGGGACAATACTTGCCTACTCACCGGTGAGTAGGAAATTTCTACTGACTAGGTAGGTGGCACAATAAAATTATGGCAAGTGTACTAAAATTTATAAAATATAAATATAACAAAAATAGAATTAGAACTGGGTTGACCCATTTTTAATTGGATTAACATTATTTTTTACCTCATATCTGATATGATATAACACAATTTTTCTTTAGTACACTGTATACATCCTTGACCACTATCTCTATAAATATCAGAATATGTGTCTAGGCATTATAAAAAACAAAATAATTGAATTGAGATATAGCAATAGTGTTTTGAGGGGTTGGTTTTGCTCTCTACCTTCTCAAAGTGGAATATGTGATTGATATGAAGAACCCTTGCTAGAATCATCAAATGCTTCCAGTTTGTGCTTAAAAAAAATAAAAATAAAAATTCTTACCCTTCTCTTGTCCAACTTAGGATTGTTGCAGTGAGAATGAGGATTACTGAGGTGAATGGGTATTTTAATAACATGATTTTTGTTTGTTTATATATATATGTGTGTGTGTGTGTGTATGTATATGTATTTATATTTGTACAGCTATGGTGAAACCCAAATTTTGATCTTTTGATTCCTAAGAACAAAAATAATATATTGTTTTAGGAAGATCTTGTTTTTAGAAGGTATTGTGTTAGGAAGCTTGAATCCTAATTTCTCCCTACTTTAAAAGCCAATTTTGTACCAATGTATGTACAAGTGTGTATATAGATATATATGGAGACAAAGATGCGGTTAACCCGATTAAAATGGATTAAATACGTTCTGGTTCTATTTTTGTTATATTTTATATTCTATAAAATTTGAAACACTTGTCATAATTTTATTATTCCACCTATTGAGTCAGTAGAGACTCCCTACTCACCGGTGAGTAGGCAAGTATTGTCCATCTTGTTGCGTCTAGGGAAGAGCGAGGCCAAAGAAGGGAAATTAGCTTGAGAAAGGAAGACAGTTCGGTGAATTGTTTTGCTCATGATTTACTGAGGGAAATGAAAAGACATTATATTTTCTCATGGTTGCCATGGAAAACATGAAGGAAAAGAAAATATGAGTGAAGGACCACTGTGGTTGGGAGGAATTAAATGAAAAAAAACAAAGCGAAGAGAAAAGCTAAGTGGGGGAGGGGACTGATAATCCTTCATTTTGGGAGCTATTATGGAGAGTAAGATAGAGAAATTGGGAAAAGGAGCAGATACAACCCTGCCTTTCTTTTTCTTCTCCAAATGTGGGGAAAATGAAATGAGAATTAGTTACTGAATACTCGTTGTGCTTGTAGTTTTCATAAGAAGTAGTAGTTTGTTATTTTAGTTATCCTTCTCCTTAACTATGTAACCCTTCTTCTTTACTTTTTCAGTAATCACTTCAGAAACGGGGTTGGTGTTTATAGTCATTTCCCCTCTATGAAGTTCAATTGCCTTCTGAAACTCTCTCTCTCTCTCTCTCTCTCTTGTGTATGGGCATGTGATATATAAGTACCACTCCTCACATTAAACACCTCACAGTTTGTACTACTCACATTAAACATCTCAAAGTTTGATACTTTCTTCCTTGCAAAGAGTCTCCTTTAACAGCATGTCTAAAAATTCTGCCATGCTTGGAAGCCTTTTTTTATTGTTTTGATCATCTTACTTAATAGTAAACTGTTTTCCTCATCATACCCTATGGAAGTTTTAAAATGTGAGATTATTCATTTTTGCTAGATATGAGCCAATGTTGCTATTGACCTCAAACAGTTGGGGAAGAAATTTGTTGAGTATGAACAAATGTTGTCTAGTAAAAGTCGTCCTAATAAAGATAAAGTTGGTTGAAATCTATAAAGGAATTCCATGAATTGATTAACTTTAATTAATTGCAATAAAATGTTGCAAAAATTTCTTCTCTTTATGAAACCATGCTTTGGCTAGACATTCAAGTAGAGATGGTGCCAACGTGCACTTGAATTATGGATCTTTGCAGATAAATTTGTCAAGTAGTGATTGTAACCTATACCCTTTAGGCTATAAAGGGTGCATTTATTTTTGTCCAAGATTGTTTCCATTCTAATCTTTGATCAATCTCAGGTTGTTTGCTTTAGACATTTTTTTTTTTTTTCCTTTCTTTCAGCTTCTTATTTTTTTTCCCAACTTTTAGATTTTGTTCTCTTCTCTCTCTCTCTCTCTTTGTTTGTGTGTGTGACATACTGCTCCCAAGTTGATATCATTGGTACTTGTATAAGCCAAATTCACTGTGGCAGGCCTTCCTCTGGAAGGTACAATGACATGAATTTGATTTCAGTCTTTCAATGTATGTATGTGTTTGTCTAAATATATATATATATATATATATAATATTAATTGTCTGACGACTTCTGTATGCCATATTGTCACCGTGTAGACTTTCTACAAAGTTGTTAGGAGCTGGGCCTCGAAAAAGTTCATGACCGGATGGTACGCTCACTTTTTCTTCCTCGTCCTCCCTACCCTGAACAGATGCTTTATATTGTTCAGTAATTGGCATATTTTAGATATTGTGTTTCATTTTTTTCTTAGTACTTGATGTTTTACCCACATCATGTCGTAAACTCGTAGTACATAATTTGGTAATAACCATCATCAAGGAGGAGTTCTACTGCAAATACGTACAAGATTGATTCAAGTAATTGGCAATTGCTTTGGTTGCCTTGTTAATTATGATCATGTTTATATGTTTAACCATTTACAGAACTTTTAAATTTATTTCTTGTATAATTTACAATTATTTGGTTGTACTATCTTTCCATGTTGAGGTTGAGGGAGGTGGAAAATTTATTTTGAAAATTCGCCAAGTGAAAGCAGATTTTATTTATTGATATTTGGGGTGGGTGGGGCCATATGGGGGAGAAGATAGGGGGACATGGGTTCAATCTTGAGGCGGTCCCAAGGACATTTATAACTCGTGGAATTGTTCAACTGAAAGAGAATCTTACAGGCGTGGAGAAACTTCAAGAAATGAAATACTCCAGCCAGTCTTGAGCATGCTTCATTAAAATTTTAATATATTATTTGTTTGCAACTTTCTATTGTAAAGATTAAGCAGGAATTGGTAGACGGGCTCTTATTTGAACCATAGTACCAGACTCAGCAAAAATATTAAATTAAAATAGATCTATGGAACAAAGAAAAGGCAGGGAATCTCAATTTCATAGAATTACTGTGGAGTTAGGCTGGGGGATCTGTAATGGTGTTATGGGTTATGGAACTTATATACTATTTAAATGCTTCCTTTTTCTTTTCTCTTTTTTGCAAAGTTTGTTTGGAATAGAAGAGATATCATTTGATACGCATCAGATTAGGCAATCACGTATGCTGACTTTGTACAGAGTAATGTGATGTTTTCGGAAATGAAATGTACTTTATTGTTGTTTTTTTTTAAAAATATATATATATATATTAAAACTGCATTTGTCAAATTGTATGTCTCATTTCCTTAACATAAATGTAGTTTCCAAATAAGGCTAGAATTGTAATTTTGACAACTGCCTGTGCTTTGCACTGAGAGTTGTGCTTATACTTTGTTGTTGTAGTTGTTGCTTACTCTCTGCGGTTTTGCAGTGTCATCCTACTTCCAATAGCGATCACTTTCTATATAACATGGTGGTTTATTCATTTTGTTGATGGCTTTTTCTCTCCAATTTATGTTCAACTTGGAATTGACATCTTTGGTAAGCATATTATATCCCTATGTGCCTATATCATATTTTCATTGATACCTTTTATCCGTGAAGCTTATGATATCTATATTAGTTTCCTTGAGTGGGTGTTACTGAGGAAATGTTCTATACAAAGTGACTTTATAATATTGCTGTTGTCTTGTTTAGATTAGCTTCATTCAGCCATATGCTATTAATTCTAGAATGACCATAAGTTGGCTGACAGGGAAATATCTAATCCGTAGTTAATTTCATATATTAAGTAACATGATAACCGTTATCTTAATTTGGAAAGTCTGTTTGAAATGTATCGTGAGATAATATTTACACAGAAACAGTTTCCCACTAAGAAGAAATCACTGATATTTAAAATTTCATTATGCAACTAAAGCTGCAATTGAACCGAGCTGAGCTAAGCTTTTGCGTGTTTGAGTCTGAGCTCAACAAGTAACCTCGACCTAGAGTTGAGGTAGGGTTTGAGTGTTTGAACTCGAACACTACTCGCTGGGCTTGAGCTCAGCTCATTTGACTCATTTAGCCAATTTTGAACTCACAATCGAACTCAAATTCAAGTTTTGATAAGAACAAATGATTATAAATCAAAATGAGCATTAGAAAACCATGACCTTAAAATTTTAGCCTAGTCTATATTCTAACCAAACTATGTGAGAAACTTTTCCTTGGTCCAGGTTGTAATACCCCCGGATTTCCGAATGCGGGTTGGCCAGGCCCACGCCCGAATACCCGAGGATATCAAAAACAAATCGGCAATAAAGGAACACAGAGTACAAAAGAATAAAGAAGAATAAATAAAATGCTGATAAGAAACTAAAATGATAATCTAATAATAAACCTCATAATATATTTCCATTAATTAATAAACTCTTTTGATACAACTGATCTTCCAAAATACAATTTGGGAATCCATACTGCGTGGACCCCTAGAAAATTCAAACTAAACAAATGACAGCAATAACTATCTAAATCAGGAAACTGAATCATAAAGGAACTCCTATGTAGCATCGGAAGAATGAAGTAGACTGATCCCTGCTCAGCACGAACAACCTCTACTCTTGACGAACACCTGAAAAATAATGGTGGGTCAGGCCCACAAACAAGTTCTACTCTACTACAGTCCAAGCAGAGATCCGATACACGTATACATCCTAGTCAATCCAACAGTAACTAGTAATCCGTATATATATATATATATACACACACACACTAAAGGAACCTCACTAGACTATAGGGTTGTCTCAACCTGAATAGTAGGCAACATGCAAAACGCACATATAGTGGGCATGAGTACCTAGACCTACCAGGGTACACAGCTATACTATATCTAGCTACACATCCCTGGCGATATACGCCCCCTAACCACTGATCCTGAGACTCAAACTCATATCATGGTACCATACTTATATATATATAATTTAGTAACCATCCTATCCAGTATAAATTAATCCTCCGTAAGTCATTCAACTTATTCAGCTGACCTGACTTGAATATAAGTAGGACTTAACATTTTAGTTAATCTATTCCCTTATATAATAAATTAATCCTCCATAAGTCATTCAACTTATTCAGCTGACCTGACTTGAATATAAGTAGGACTTAACATTTTAGTTAATCCATTCCCTTATATAAAATAGGTAGGACTTAACTGATAAGTTAATCCGTCCCTAGAATACCACCGTCCCATACCGGTGCATTAAACCACACAATCCAACAATTGATGTAACAATTAAGGAAATACATCAAACATTTCAGAAATAACTATGATAATATGATATCAAGTTATCACATAATAGGAATGACTTATTATTTATTTAAGCTTCCTATATCATATGTCCTACATAAACTGAATCTTATATATGATGATATTTTATTATACCGTTAAATAAGCATTCTCCATATCCAATTCATCCTACACATTTAATCTCAATTGCTAAAACATTTTTAAAAGATTAAATACATTCGTTTGTTTAAAACATTCAAATAGAAAGTATCATTTTGATTGAGTCTATTTAAATTTATTTAAACCCAAACCTAGTTTCTATTTAATGTTCAGGAATCCTAGGCATGTTTCTATGTTCCATCATTCCACAGATATGAAAAATATATAATGTAAACATATAAAAATTCACACCGGAAATCAAATCAAAATCATGCATTTATCAATTCATAACACAAGAACAGATATGAACCAATTTCATAAAATCTATGTTCTAATCCAATTAAACATGCATAATTATTTAATTTTATGTGTTTAATAAATCCTGGAATTTCCTAGGCATGCATAGAAATACGAATCAAAGGGAAAGAGATAGAAGAAGAACTTGCCTTAACCTTTCGGATCGAAAGTTAAACTTCTTCTTCCTTGATCTTCTCTTTATAGGATTTTTCTCCTCTTTCCTTCCTTTTCCTCCTTCCCTATCTAACTCTCTCTCTCTCTAGAATATATCACGTGAATATTTCTAACCCCCTTTTGCAACCTATAGCTATATATTTATAGGCTAAATAAAATAACCCTAACCCTTTTCCCAATCCAAGTCAACTTAAAAAAATAAATATTAAAATATTAAAAAGATAAGTAAAATATGTTACGTATATAATTTATGTATATCTTTATTAAATAAATAAATTATACACATCCCATTATCTATTAATGGATTATCCAATAATACTTAAGTTACCATAATATTATAAAGTAACTTAAAACATAACACGTATCAAATCTATGTATATTTTTATTATTTAAATATAAAACATATACATATTTTTATTATTTAAATATAAAACATATACATCAGATTAAATATTACTACCCAAGTTACTATAAAAGTAATTAATAAATTACTTTCCATTTTATATATATTAAAAAGGTAAGTAAAATATGTTACGTATATAATTTATGTAAATCTTTATTAAATAAATAAAATATACACATTCCATTATTTATTAATGGATTATCCAGTAATACTTAAGTTAACATAATATTATAAAGTAACTTATAACATAACACGTATAAAATCTATGTGTATTTTTATTATTTAAATATAAAACATATATATCAGATTAAATATTACTATCCAAGTTACCATAAAAGTAATCAATAAATTACCTTCCCTTTTATATATGTATATAATATATATCTATGCACAACTATCCACGGGTAATAATTCATACACATCCAACCTCCTATCCAAGCAGTCCATGGGACCCAATTGGTTGACCCATTACTACTAACCATAACCATAAAAGAAAAATAAAATAAAATAATAAAAGAAAAGAAAACATTTAATTTACAATTAATCAAAACACCATTTAAGCATATAATCTAATTAAACAATTAACACATAGACAAATACAAATAATACATAGACACATAATCAAATAATATCTAATTCAATTAAACACATAAACAATTAGTCAAATAATCAAAATTATTATTAATAATTAAAAATACAATTAAAACAAATAAATAAATACCGAGTCTATCCTTTTAAAATTAGGGGTATTACACAGGTCCACCATGTCATCACGTTGACACGGTGGATCTTTATATATTTCGAGACACCCGACAATATGGGGTAAAAAGGCCAATTTGGACCCATCGGGAATAGACTGCGTGCAATTAGTCAGTTTGAAGGATTGAAATTCAAATTTCATTACATGATATATATTTATGCTATGCAGCCTTTTGCAGACATGAATATTTGCATGCATGCATATTCTTGATTGGTTCGGTCCACTGTATCAGCATAATAATGTGGTAGACCTGGACCATGGAATAAGTTTCCCCAACCACGGAAAATTGGAAGTTTCTAAGCTACTAATGGCAGCAATTACATACCCAAGAATAAGAAATAATTACACCCATAACTACCAGATAAGTAATACACAAATTACTAAAGTACCCTCCTACTAAACACCAAATTACACCATCTAATCTCTGCATCAGTTGCCTGGGGTATGTAGCCTGTCCTTGAATGGAAAGGAAGATTACTTTGGCTGTTTGTAATGCTACAGACGATGTTAGAGTTTCGCACCCTTGAAGTAGAATGTGTCAATGAACTGAAATTACATATTATCTAATGAGAGATAATAGTTTTGCTGTTTGTGCTTGTTGCCCATGCTTAAAGTTTGACGGTCAACCTTGTCTGAAGTAAATATATCACATATAGATTGTTTATTTTCAATGACATGTATCCCGGTTTAAAATTAATGTAATTCCATTTATGAATTATATATGAAATTGTTGGCTGTAAGCATCTTAGTGAACACATCTACAGGTCTGATTGATGTTTCCATTTGCTCATATTTCTTAATTAGGTCTTGGATTTGTAACTTCCATCACATTCATCTTCTTGGTCGGGGTGTTTATGTCATCGTGGTTGGGGGCATCTGTCCTGGGCCTTGGGGAATGGTTCATTAAACGAATGCCATTTGTTCGCCACATCTACAATGCCTCCAAACAAATTAGTTCTGCCATATCTCCAGGTTTTTATTATTATTATATTTATTTGTATTTTTTATTGAATGGATTTTGGTAAGAATAGTTCGTTAATTTTCTTATTTCAATCTCATTGCAGATCAGAACACACAAGCATTCAAGGAGGTCGCTATCATAAGGCATCCGCGTATTGGTGAATATGCATTTGGATTCATCACTTCATCCGTCATCCTCCAGGTCTGCTAATAATGCTGATGTTCTATCACCTCAGATCTAGTATTATTGCTTCATCCATCGTTCAACCCAAAACTTGATTACAAAAAGTCCAAATCATGCCTCAATGTGAAATTTCTGATTTACCCTTTGTTAGCATATTTTGCGCTTTTTAATCCTTGTCGACAAATAATTATCTTTGGTTGCTTATGTGAATATTGTTCTCAATGCCGGAGCATGGCTTGAGTTTTTTTGTAACTTTGTTGAACTTGTCAAAAAGATCTAATGAGGCAAACTTAATTTATGTTCGTATCCCTAATTTTTTCCTTTTAAAATCCAGAATTATTCAGGAGAAGAGGAGCTATGCTGCGTATACGTTCCCACCAACCATCTTTACATTGGTGATATATTTCTGGTCAATTCCAACGATGTTATAAGACCGAACTTGTCAGTTCGGGAAGGAATTGGTAAGAGATTATTTTATCTATTTGTTAATTCAATGAAGATTGCCTAGTGAGTGGAAGGAATGCATCCGTTTAGTTGCCACATGACTCTCAATCTGGTGTTACCTACTACTTGCTTGTGTGGTTACAAGATCCCTTATGGGGTTCCTAACATCATTATAAGCAGGTTTTCCATTTTTAGTCGTGCATTCTTAAGCCGAAAATGTCAATCTTTATAGATGAGAAGATTTCAAGTACATCAGATTTTGCATCTCTTCACCGGGAGGGGATGTGTCTCTATTACAAGATAGGGGTGCCTAAATTAGTGTCTTGCATGTTTATAACCTTGTTAACTATAATATGAAGAAGATGAGATCAAAATCCATTTAATCATCGGTTTATATGGTACCAACTTGTATCCTTTGTCTTTATTTGCAGAAATCGTTGTGTCTGGGGGCATGTCAATGCCCCAAATCCTGTCGACACTGGATTCAAGCATTATTCAAGTGGATAGAAGTAGACCCAACAGAAGCTGAGAATTAAGATATTAGATGTAGTGAGATGTGTTTTATTTTTTTTTAATCACCAATTTGTTTTTCAGGTTGATTCCTTGGAATGGCCGTGTGATCGGTTTGTGTTGGCATTATAGGAATCTGTAGTCATGTTTTAAATTATATGATGGTTGAGGGTCGGATTCTGATGGTATACATAACATCACTTTCCTGGGAATATAGTCAGTAGATATTCCAAGCTGAAATGTATTTTTGCTTTGGAATTTTTTTCCTTGGAAGTTTAGTTTTCTCTCGTACTTGTATTGAATGTTGTTTCTCCCCTCTGTCGATGGGTTTTCATGTTCCAAATTCCAATCTCCAGTCAAGTTTTGTAGGTAGAAGGCCGTATCTTTAGTTCAATCATCAATGGCAAGCTTGATAGCGCTCGTGGATAGAAAATTTCTTGATTATCCTTTGATCAGATTGAACTTGTACAATAAATTATGAATGAACTCATAAATGAACCTAGTTGATATTTATAGTGTTTTCTAAGGGAATTTATAAAATATTTATTGAATAGAGAGAGATTCACGTGACTGCTTGTATCAATGGCTTCTCTATTACCCTCCTTGGCTCGCATATGGGCTAAATGATTTTCGGACCAAAATTGTGCGAGTTTATTAGAAGAACCAGATTCAATGCCTCATGGAGCGATTGCTAATGGCAATGACTTCTGAGTTCAAGCAAGACCTATTTGTCATTGGGCCATAATAAAATAATTAAATGCAATGTAAACTTTTTAGAAGAGTCATCAATGGCCGCAAGGCCCTTGTTAACTTATTTAATTATATATTTGTCAAAATTTAAGATTATACTATTTATAATCTTTAATAAAAAAAATATATGTGTGTCAATCCAACTAAATTACTAAATAGACTTTAGTCTGTGGTAAATTAAAAGACAAGTTTAGATAGTTATTACGATTTATAGAATTCCATAATAATGATAACTGAGGAGCTAAAGTCAACCTAAACGGATTTAGGTGGAAATGTCTACAGTAAAACGGTTTAATGAGTTAAACTCTTCAATCATAACACAATATGATTAATTAAGCAGGTTAATTGTATTAATTTATTTACAATCCGAATCCATTTAAAGTCAACCTAAACCTGCTAATATTGTGTTGGTGGTCGAACTTTGTCATCCCTAGATATGCATATCTATATAGGAGCGGAGCCGGAAACTTTCCTTTCAAACACTTTTTTTTTTTTTTTTATTACATTTAAAATTTTTAAAGCAATACTAGAGACTTTGAAAGGACCACGTGTACTTTCTTAACAAACCAACTTCAATTATCATAGATAGATAACTACAAATGAAAATTTTAAAACAATTAGTTCCTCTGTAAGCACAAATTTTTTTTCTTTTTTTTTGGGGGGTGGGGGGAAGTTGAAATTCAATAAATGAAAATCTAATTAGAGAATAAAATATATAATATTAAAAAGTTATTTAATAATATAGTAGTAGGAAATTTAATCAGAGAAGGAAATATATAATATTTAAAAATGAATTATTGAAATTAAATGAAAGAAAATTAATATATAATATTTAAAAAATATTATTTAATTCAATAAATGAATCTAATTGGAGGAGAAATAATAATATATAGTTAGAATACTGAAATTCAATAAAAAGAAATATAATTGGAGAATAAAACATATAGTTTATTTAAATAAATATATAACAACAATTTTATATCAAAATATACCAATAAAATCTTAAACTGAGAATTCTATATATATAATTATTTTTATATTTAATTTTTAATCATTTATTTTAAAATTTTAAACTATTATTTATACTGCAAAACTATTCTTATTTATATATTTTTTTTATTATTTATAATTTTTTTATTTGATCGTTGTGCATACACTTTCGCTAGCAATCCATGTGTATTTTTACTTGTGATTTGTAGAATTACAGAGGCAACCTATTCCTTAATTGCCGCATCCAAACGGAACCAAACAGGGGGGACAGATACTATTACGCACCCGGCGTATTTTAGTAAAAATCTATATGTCTTTACAAAACCCTAGCTCCCACAGATGCCTCTCTATAAGTACTAGCAAATAAACCCAATTTATTGGCGTTCACGATTTTCGAGAGTATTCCTTGTGAGCTAGGGTTTTGCTGGAGACGAAGTCCGTCTCTCATGCTTCTCTCTCTCTCATGCACACAGGTATAATGAAGGATTTTAAAGTCTGGATGGGGTTTCAATTTGAGTCGGGGTTTTCTATGAGTCTGATGTTTATATATTTCTATATAGTTATTCGAGATGGATCAGAGTTTGAATCCAAAAGGTCTATTTTATATTTTGTATAATTCTTTCTGAATTGTTTTGTGAAAATTGAAAGAACAAGAAAGTATATTTAGTGGCTGTGCCTATATATATAGATTTAGATGTATCTATTAACGTTTTTCTATTAGATTCGAGAAGGGAAGGGGAGGACTGTGATGAATGTGATTGGTCTCGTTCGTCGTAATGGCAAATAAGCCTTGACGACCATTCTGATATATCACCACCCATAAACTGAGTCCTCACTAATTTTTTTTCTTAGTGCTTTTTTGTTTTCCTTTTCTATTAAATAATTATCTCTATTTTAATTTGGTTTTTTACAGTGTTATTTACTTTTCTCATTTTATTTCATGCTTTATAGATTGGCCAATGATTATACGATTTCAATTTGACAAGCATATGTCTGAAACAAATTGTGTTGACTCTCTTAATCTTCTCTATGAGGCTAATCTGCTATCCTTGTCTTTCTTGTTGCTGTGTTTGGCTGCATGGAATTAGAGTCGGGGGAAAATTCACATTTTTTTAATTGCTTTTTCAATTCTAATTGCAGAACTCCAAATGTAATTATAATATAGTTTAATTTCAATATATATATATATAGATAGATAGATATGTAGAAAGGAAAAAAAAAAGGCTATGAAGAGCCTGCCATTCTGAGGTGTGTGTATATGTATATATACAACCATAACAAGTTTGTACTTTGTATAATATTTGTGTCATAAATGTGTGATCGAGAGAAACATATGGTCATATGTGTTTTTGTGTTTTAAATTTAATTTTTAGATGAGATGGGTCATGTGATGATCAGAAGCATAGTTCAAATGATATCCTTGTGATTATATATAATTTGAATGTCTTTCGCTCCTATCTGATGACTCCTCTGTTGGTAGAATATATTTTGTAAAACAAAATTTGGCAAAGTGGGTGTTTTAAGTCAAAATTTAGTTTAATTGCCTTTCAATGTTTGGTTGGTTTTTGGTTTGTAACTCTAATAAAATCTCAATAACTTCAGCAGATTTTTTTTTTTTTTTTTTTTTTTTGTATAATTTTATGTTTGTGTAAGTGCAGAAAAAGATCTAAAAACACGGTGCATAAAATATTCTTAAAAGTTTCAATTTTGTGAAAATAAATAATTTTTGTAAAATAATTGAAAATGACATTATTGGAGGACATAGCAATGGATAATTATGAAGTGCAAACTAAAGAATACAAAGGGCAAATTAAAGAAAACAGATGAATTTTGCAAAATTAAAATTTTGTTTTAAAAGTTTGTAAAGTTTTTTAAAAAAATGGTTTAGAGATATACATGGAGAAAAAAGTTAAAAAAAAAAAAATATATATATATATATATATATGTAAGGCAATATTTACATAACAATTCTATCCTAGAAATTAGAAACATATATGATCGTTTGCTGGGCATTTTTAGAAGAGTAAAAAGACAACCTTTGGCTGGACTGGTGCCCTGTAACGGACATGAATTCTGTTGAATTAGTTCTCACATTGACTGTCGAATCATTGTTCACCAACACCCTGGAGACCAGCACTCCTAACCAAAGCAGGTCCTAAGAGTTCCTTTAATACTTCCCCACTATTACAGCGCACTCATTTGTGTCAGCGGGGATATTTTTGTATAATATGAAAAGATTAATAATATTTTTTGTATATTTTTTTAAATAGAAATACTTTACATAATATGAAAAGATTAAGAATATTTTTTGCATATTTTTTTAAATAGGAATACTTTAGGGGTGTTTTCTACACTTGTCTCTTTTATGTTTTTAGTTGTTTGAGAATAGAAAATTGTTTTCATATTACAAACCAAGCAGAACTTAAATTTTTTTATTTACAAGTTGTAAAATTCTAATCATCATGAAAACATATAGAATTCAAATCAAGAATTTTATTTTATTAATAGAGGTTACCTTCTAAATCTTGGTTGAGGAGTTCAGTTACACATGAATTCAAATAGATTAAGGAATAACATAACCGAAAGAATAACAAAGTAAATAAAACTTGGATGTCTAAGGCTAGTTTGGATTTTATAAAATTAGTGATTCAATTCCAACGAGCTTGAAAGTTATATTGATCTTTTTTGGTTTGTCATTTATATAACTTTTAGAAAACAACTCTTCTTGCTCATAACCATTCTCTATACAAATTATTTAACAACATTAAATTTGTTATTCTAATTGGGAAAAATTAAATAAAATAAGACATGAAATTGATTGCATGACCTAAATTTGACTGAATTAAGTAAATAGATGTTCATTTCCAAAGGAGAGAATGCATGAAGACAGATGCAGACAGACTCTGGATGTCTCCTGATTGCGAGATTTTCATAGTTTATTTTGATTGTCTCTCTTTCTGGGTTGTGCACTTTGTAGACAACCAATTTTATTTTTAATACTAATTTTTTGTTTGTATCTCCTGTATATTATTCTCAGTACAATTACCCACATTTAGGAAAAATATCAATCCCTTCTTTTTTGCCACTGATCTGTTTAAATAATCTTCTCCTTTCGCATCTTTTACCATGCATAACAAAATCTGAGAAATGAACAAAACCACTTGGCATCTCTCGCTTAGAGAGAACAAAATCAGCGTACAGCAAAAACAAGTGGATGTACAAACTTGTGAACAGGAGAATCGAGAAATTAACCATCCTAAGGCCTGTCCCCTTTCTCGGTTTACAACAGAAACTATAATTTTACAGAAAAAGTAAAGTACAAGGGGGACCTGTAAAAAAATGGCAATGAAATTCAATATTGCAGCTTCACCCTTAAATGTAATCACCAGTAGGCGAGGCTGGGTTTCTGTTTTATTTAGATGCCAAACTGCTCTCCTGCTTGTCAATGGCACAGCCATCTGGAAGAACCGTTCCACCTAGCCTAGTTGGGGGCCAATAGCGAAGTACAGATCTTCCGATTATGTTCTTGGCAGGAAGGGGGCCCCTTCACAACAAATAATTTGAAGTCAGTTAGCTCCCAACAATGACAACCACCACAACGAAAGAAGAAAAGAAATACAAGGAAACAAACAACTTCTTGTAAACTGAGGAATGAGAATATATTACCATATGTGTGAATCATAGCTGTTATTACGATTATCACCCATCACAAAGACTGAGTTTTCTGGTACACGCTGCATCACAAAATATAGAGCGCTTTCAAATCAATATTGATCTGCAATTCAATCCTTTTTTTGGGCAAGTCTTCTAAAGCTACTGTCCACTTTATGAGTGAATGTAGCTCACAGATTTAAACTCCAGACCTCAAACAATACGATAACTTTTTTTCTGCATGTGCCATCTTTCTTAATCACCCACGAGGGGAAAAAGATAGGGCAAGAAAACGAAAAAGAGAAATTGATAGCAGAGTAGAACTCACAACTGGTGTCATGTCATAGTGAGGTGATTCGAGGATGTAATTTTCATTTCTCACAACCCCATTGACAATTAGTTTCCCTCCATGAACCTGCAGTCAACAAAATCAACCAATTATGTAATACTGTCAAAATATTTCAAAAAATTTAAATGAGCTTATCAAATGCAGGCTCAAATATTTATTCTTCTATTTTCATAATTCAGAGAGTATAAGTCACAGTTCAGCGCTTTCAGGCCAGGGAGTTGAAGGAAATCTTAGAGTTTGGTAACTGAAGAATAACTTGTGGTGATCATCGGTCTTATATCTTGAAAGGGTAACAATGGGAAAACATCTAAGTAAATCCAATTTGTCTCTCGAAAAAATGGAAATGACATGTACACTTTCTGAAAAAATATTGCATGACCTAAAAAATATGCAACATAGAAACTTAGTTTGAGGGTTCAATGGTGCTTAGAACATGGATCACTGTGTACACAGTATGGATCAGGCTGCATGCAAGAGGTTGAATTAATGGATTTAACTGTACACATGTTGCCACTTATCTCTCAACTCATAATAATAATAACAGGATTAGATTATACTGTTCAATTGAAACATAACAGTTAAAATATGATGAGTTCCCATATGCAAGGCTAATTTTCTTCCATCCTGTAGAAGATGGTTAAAAAAATTATCATTCAATTGCACAATTTTTAGACTTGCTTTTGGACACAAGCAATACGAAATCTACAGTGTGGCTTACTCCAGATGTATGTATGTTAATTTATTTAGCTTTTCACAGACAAAAATTGATTTTCTATTCAGAATAATCATAAAAAGAAATGTAATGAAAACAATCCCAAGTACTATTGAAACCTCCATGACTGTAAAAGATGTCCACAGTGCTTTTGACAGTTTACAGTAACAAACTGTTGGCAAGCTTGAAATGGCAAAATATGGTCCGAGTAGAAGGGATTACTATATCAAATATTTTTCATCTTTATATTCTCACCACTACAAATACTACTATACTAATTTTCCTAGGGCTATTAAAAAAACTGGAAGCCAAGGAATTATAAAAATAAGAAAATAACTGCACAAGATACAAATGAAAAACTTACATATAGAAATCGCATGGTGCAGGAGAAAAGAAATGAAATGAGTTTATGGAGTTTCGTTGTCTCACCTCCACAATATCTCCTTCCTTTGCAACAATTCTTTTAATGAAGACATCGTCATCAGTATATCCTACTTCCTGAAGGACTGGAGGGCTTTTAAAAATCACTATATCATTTGGACATGGCTTTCTAAAATAATAACTAACCTGAAAATTTGAAGATTAACATTCAGTTTAACGATTAAAAGTTCAACACTAGATTATTTGCCAAAAGGTTACTTCCTTAGAAAAACAGAACAAAGGAACATATAAATCTCAATGGCCACAAAAACTCGAGCATTACTTCCTCATATTTATTTTAGATTAAGGCTCCGTTTGTTTGGATGTAAAAATATTTTTTAGAAAATATTTTTTTTATTTTCTGGTGTTTGGTTGTGGTAAAATATTTACAAAGAAAAAAAAAAAATTTAATCTAGCAAAAATAACTTACTCATCAATTTTCGGCAAGTTATTTTACACACCCCACCAGATGGACTCAACCTAGACTTTCGCCAGACACCAAAAAACAAAAATAAAAAATATATTTTACCTGAAAAAGGAAAATATTTTCTTTTCCATCGAAACAAACGGAGCCTAAGTGCTAAAACTAAACTTGGGGGGTGGGGGGAAGTACTAAAACTAACTCTGAAAATACCTGATTAAAGAGTAAAGTTGAAAGGCTATACATAGCTGTTTTAATCTATAGATGCATACTATAAGGCTACTGTGTGTGTGTCAGCCCATATATACACACACATATAAATATATAGAGAGAGAGATGGAGATAGAGAGTTATATATATATATATATTTATGTAAGAAATCTTAAGAACTAGCAACATAGTTTTTTCCATCATGTTAGAAAAGATTTCGATTTATAATCTTGTGATCACAACAATATTCTACATGAATCAAAATTCAAATTTCAAGCGAATACTAAGCACCAAAATAGAATCTACTTCAAATAAATGACTTTGCTAATCCTTCAAAAGGCAAGCCCTTTGTGCATGACTAGGGTAGTGGTCGTCCACTTGCTGGGTCTGGAAGCTGATAATGAGGGTTAGGCTGGGAATGCCGAGGAAACCGTGTCTATCTGTCCCCATCACTGTCAAGGTACATGTTGTGGTGGTGGCATGCCTTTTTGATCCATTATTTGTTTGCTTAATTGTTTATTTTATAGGCTTTGATCCACAATTCTCCAACTATTCTGCTGTTTGATAATTTGATAACTCAATTCAGTACTTATTTCTTATTTCTTCTTCTTTTTTTCTTTTTTTTTATAAGTAGTTTTCAGTACTTATTTCTTAATAAAAAGTCTTTATTCAATTAAGTATGTTTGATGACATAAAAATAAATATCACTTACAAGAATAAGTGACAATGAAAATGGGATAAATTTTTAGGTGAAGGATTTATCACTAAACACTTCAAACTTCATAAAAATTTCAAAGAAATTCCTAATTAATAATCAATACTTAAATATAGCACTTAAAATTTTAAAATTTTCCAAACACCACCTAAGGCTGCCTACGTATCTTGCCCTAGTTAAGATACTCTTAATTTGCACTGGTCCCCAAGGTAAAAGAACACAAAAACCAAAGAGGGGCACACACAAAATGCATGTATTTGTATTACATACAAAATTGCCCCTCTAGTCACTCAATTGAATCACAACAATCAATTCATTCACGCACCATGAAAGCTTCAAACTAAAGCTGAACCTCCATTTTACAAACAAACATGGACCGACTTACTTTCAAATAACATGAAAACAAATTAATTTCCATGTTCATCACATTCAAGATAAAAAAAATTCAAAACTAATGAACAACAATTCATATGAAATGTATATTAAGAAATTAAAGATGATGTTATCACCTTTTCTGCAACAATTCGATCTCCAACATCGAATGTGGGAAACATAGACAACGAGGGAATATATCTAGGCTCCGCCACAAACGACCGAAACGCAAGCGATACAACAAGCGCTGCAAAAACGGTCTTCGCATCGTCGGAAGTGAAATCCAACCATTCCGGCAAAATCCCATTCTTCTTCCCCAACTGCCCATCATCTTCATCTTTATCTCCATCTCCGCCGTCGCCTCCACCTCCGCCGCCGCCCTCAGAGTCCAAAACCGCCTTGCTTTCTTCGGCGGAGTCTCTGAACCCATTGCAATTCAGTCTCCGCAAGCGATCTTTATGGCATAAATGCTTAAATCCTCGAGATTTAAGAGTTTTGGAGGGAGGTGTGAACAGGGTTTGATTAAATTGGACTGATTTTGGTGTAGGATTGAAACTGAGGATAGTGGAATTAGGGTTTTTGAAGGGTATAAAGGAATGGGTAAAACTGAAACCAGGGCTTCGCAACGAGGGCAATGGAGGGACTACCTGTACGGATATCATCTCTTGTCACAGCTTTACCCTCCACGGCGCACTAAAATTGAATTCGCAATTAGACATGAATTTATGTAACAGTACTGTATCTGCAACTGAAATACTAGTGAAATGTCCATACTGTCCCCACACAGCTCTAGTAAGATATCACTTCTTTTCTTAAACGCTGGTTTTTTTAAAGATCGGAAAGCTGTTAAAGGATTTAATGAAACTTCCAAAATACCAAACATACTCTTTTATTTATGAACAAAAAATAAAATATTCTACCTATATCCCTATATATATGTAAAGAAATCTAGCCGCATCACATATTGTCTCTTTCATCTGGTTCATAATTTCACATAGTAGCAGGTTCCTCCTCTCTTTTTTCTCATCTTCAAGATTTCAAAACTAGGTACTTTGTATTTTTTTTATTGGATAAATAACTCCTAAATACAGTATTATTTTAAGTTTTATCGTGAATCAGATTTGTTAGATTTTAACGAACAATGAGTGAAAACAATATATATATATATATATATATATATATATATATATATATATATATATTTATTTATTTATTTATTTTATTGCAATTTATATTTCGATTCATTCTTGATTTTGGTTTTTTGTTTTCCCTTTTTCTCATATACATTACCATCATATGTTTTTGCTTTCAATTTTATTTTCTCTTAGCTTTGCGAAGCTGTGGGCATATACAGGTAATATATGTGTATATTTTATATGATTTGCTTGATGATAGTTACGAAAATAAACTCTATAAGTTGGGCTAATGACTCTTTCAACTTGCATAACCACGGTCAACCAAAAAATATAAAGAACAAATAAATCTTTTCATCTTTAGCTTTTTTTTCACATCAAAATTGAATTGGGAAATACTTTTCATCTTGAGCTTTTTTTTTCACATCAAAATGAACATGTATATAATGGTGTCCTCAGAATCTTTCTATGGCAACCACGATGTACTAACAAAAAAAAATGAAGAAAAAAAAGATCCTTCCATTTTTAGCTTCTTCCTTTTTTCACCTCAAAATTGAATTGAAAAATAGGTGAACGTATATGTAAAGCGTTGTATTTAAAATTAAAAAAAAAATCCTTTCATATATCAATTTCTCAAAACACTATAAAAGAAAGAATTTATAAAATGAGTTACATATATTATGTTGAAAAAACCGAAAGAAAGAAAAATAATTAAATAATATTTCTCGATGTTTACTGTTTATATATACCCTACCTATTTCTCCAATTAATTAATATTTCTCTATCTACATCTGGATGTTTACTGTTTATATATATATATATATAGAACGACTTCCTTATAGTGAAATTAATGAAAAATGTAGAAGAGTGTTATTTAGATCATTTTATAGACAACAACAATGTAAAAGAAATAATTTTTAAATCATTTTCACGATAGATGTGTAACATATTTTGCTCTTTCACAAATGTTTGTTAATATCATAGTTCTGATTACAGTTGTTAGGATGGTTATTGTTTAGAACCTTATTTCATTTGTTAGTGTTTGGAAACTTATTTCATCTAAGGGCAAATTAGTTATATTAGTAGTAGAAGAGTTTTAGTAAGCATTTTGCCAAACCGACAAAAAAGTTCTTTTAACATTAAAAACTCTTCTAAAATGCAATTCCCAAACACTATCAAATAAGTCGAATAGAAGTGATAACTTCTACTTCTCTTCTTCTTCTGTGTAAAAGCATAAGTAAAAGTTATATCAAACGAGCCCTAAGGCTGCGTTTAATAACTAGAAACATTTCTTGTTTGATTAATTATACGGCAATCGAATTTAATCACCGATTAAGATCCGAAATTGCCACATCACTCACTCATTCGTTAAATGGAAAATTCTACCATTTTAAAAAGACTACTTTACCCTCAAAATATCATCCAAACCCTTCCACGTTTTCTCTCTCAAATAATCATCTAGTCTTTGTGTTCAAAATGACTCTCTCTCTATATGTATGTGTGTGTGTGTGTGTGTGTATATATATATATCAACCACAACCCCATCGTCTCATCAATAAGTATGCAATTTCCTTCCATGATCTCTAATCTTTAATTAATTCGATTGGGTCAAGCGATAAACAAGAAAGGCTGTATCATCATCCAACATTCAATTTAACAAGTCACTAGAAAAATTAATGGTGACCCATTAAACCAGCAATTAAATCATAATTTTTCTTCTCTCTTCTCTCTCTCTTCAATTTCGCATCTCTCGCATATATACCCTAATCTCTAACTTCATTAGGGCTTTGTGAAGAAAAATGACTATACTCGTCTATGTCATGGTGTATTGTTGAATTGGGTCTTATTTGAATAAAGAAGACAATAGAAATAAATAGATAATTTGAAAAGTTTGATGGGTCATTGAGAAGGAACAAATTTGAAAGTCTTTTAGGGAGAGATATGAAGCTAAGGGATTGTGGCAGTGGAGGGGTGGAGGCAACACAGAAATGATGGCAGTGGAGAGGTGGATAGGACAGTGAACAGAAAGATGGTGGCAGTGGAAGTGGAGAAGCGAGTAGGACAATGACAGAGATGGAGGAATTTTGAGAGAAAAATAAGAAATGGTTTGGATGAAATAAAGAAGGGTTTGGATGATTATTTGAGAGACAAAAGATGTGGAAGGGTTTGGATGATTTTTTTAGGGTAAAGTAGTCTTTTTAAAATGATAGAATTTTTCATTTAATGAATGAGTGAGTGATGTGGCAATTTCGGATCTTATTCGGTGATTAAATTCGGTTACTGTAACATTACTCTTCTTGTTTTCTGTTGTCAACTTCTAAAAAGGCAAAACGAAAAAAAAAAAAATCGCGTTCAATAAAATGTTTTTGTTTTTCTATAATAGAAAACGTTTTCAATTTTTGTGAATAAAAGAGAAAACATCAAAATAATGTTTCTTATATTTTCGGCACTGTAGCGCAAAAACATTTTCACTAATATTACTGCACAGTCACTATTCATTTCAAATAAAATTCATATTATTTATGTTATATACTAAGTTGCATATTAAATGTTAATAAGAATATATATTTTTAATATAGAATAAATTAAATATTGTATATTACTTTCTATTTGATAAAAATATATTTTAATATATAATATATTAAATAATAATGTAAATTATTTTTTGTGACAAAATAATTTTTGATATAGAATATAATGCTATTAAATTATTAAGCAGTAGATATTTTCTATTATTATATATCATATCTATATTATATTATATGTAAATATTAAATTATAATTAATTTACAATATTATAACACAATATATATTTTATTACATATAATATATATTATTTAATATTTTTTATTCATAATAAATTATCATATGCTAAATATATTATATATCACATAATAAATGTATACATCATGCATATACATATATTTATATACATAATTGGTGGGAATGTTTTTGTCTTCGTATATCTAATTTTGTACTTATAATGTATTGAGTATTTTTAAGATTTATACTTTTAAATTAGATTTTCTAGATTTATGGCTTTTTGATATTAATGGAAGCAAGTGTAATGCCTGAGTGGGTGGTTAGCTCCCTCTATCTGAGAGTTCGTGTTCAAGTCATTTATCCTCCCCTCTAATCAATAACTCTTAAAATTATTGCCATGAAAAAAATAAAAAATTTAAAGAATATTATGTTCATTTTATAACAAATATGTTATATTACTAAACACAGTTATTATTTTATATTTTTAAATATGTGACAACAACAAGTATTAATAAATATTATTTTTGTTTTTTATTTTCACTTGAAAAAACAAAATTATGTTTATACTTTCTTAAAATTGAAAAAATAAAAAATCAAAACGTCACCAAATGCAGTCAATGTACAGCTTATTTGTAATAATATAGTCAAATAATACACACTCTCATTATTATTTGAATGGAGTGTCCTGCCATTAAAAAAAAGATATTGATTTCATATAATAATATAGTCGAATGGAAACTCTCATTATTGTTTGAATGAACATCTGGCATTAGAAAAAGACATTGATAATATCATTTGGAAGTCTCAATTATCTTAATTCTACCTACTACTACACACCACGACATCAATCTTATTCTATTTTTTTCTAATAAAACTAATGTGTCAACAACATAAAAAATAAAATAAAAAACATGAAAATTTTGTCCTTATAGAATTAACAAATATGTTATAACTATGCAACAACTATATTCGCGCCTGCACCAATTTTAGTCCAACACCTAAACCGCAATTTCAAGTTTCAACGATTTACTATTCTTGTAGATAGAGTTAAATAAATAAGTATATTATAAATTTTTCATGGATAACAATTTAGCTATGATTAGCCATGTCAATATACCCAAATTAAATTTTTTTCAAGGTGTACGTAATGAAATGGATTCAAATATATCATCCTAAGAGCAACTCAAATGGCTGCTATTTGGGCTGTTATTTTCAAAATATAATGGGTTATTCAATGACATGCCAAATGAGTTGCTAAAATATAACTTTATCAAATATTATGCCAAATATAACATAACATATAACTATTATCAAATCTGCTATTACTCTCTTCTCTCTCGCATAGGCTGTTAATTTGATGTTGTGCTTGTGTATATATGTGTGTCAGTTATGCTTATATATATATATATACACATATATGTTAGTGTTGTGTGTATATATATGTATATGTCTATTGTGTGTATGTACATATGTGTATCTATATATCTGTTGTGCTTGTATATATATATATTATATATATATATATACTAGGAAAAGGCACGTACATTGCACGTGGTAATGTTTTGTAACTTATAGAATTTTTGTTTTCATATACATATTTTTTTTAATTGTTGATTTGAACCTTGTAACAATAAACCTTACAAAAACTTGCAAAAAAATTAAAACTTGTGGTAGAGTTTTATAAAAAATAGGTTAATTCATAATAAATACATAAATATAGGTTATATGTGATAGAGTTTTATAAAAAATAAAATAACTAATTTGTGGAAGAGTTTTATATAAATTATTTTATTTTGTTCAAATATATTCTTGTCTAATTAGATTTTATTTTATTAAAAAATTCATAATAAATAGATAACATGATAAAGTTTCATAGAAAAAAAAACAGTTAATTTGTGGTAGAGTTTGAGAAAAATTATTTTATTATATATATCAATTAATAAATATTTTTTATATCAATAATTCGAGTCTAATTAGATTTTCTTTTATTAAAAAATTCTTACTAATAAATAGGTAAATATATTAATTTGAATTTTGTTAGGTAGATTTTAGAGTTTTATAGTGTTTTTTTTTTTTTTTTTTTTTTTTTTTTTTTTTTTTCATTTTTTATAAAAACTCTTTTTTATATAAATAAATAAATACTGAAACTCTTTGGCAGAGCTTCTGTATTTTATATAAAAACTATTTTTATATCAATTAATAAATAATTTTTTATATAAATAAATAAATACTAAAATACTGGTAGAGCTTTGTATTTTACTCTGCAATTCTGAATTTCTAGAATTATCAATTTTTGTACTCCTTCCTCCTTCCTCTATGCCTCTATTTATAGGCTTATTGGATTAATAGGATGATGACATGTATTCTCTCCAAATAATGACTGGGCCGGCCGGTTATATTGTGAGAATTATCCATTTTGAATAGCTATTCTTTTTTATATCAATTAAATTTTTTTTTTTTTTTTGTAATTGATTTTATTAGATAATTTTTAGAATTTTATAGAAGCTATTTTAAAAAAAACCTTTTTATATCAATTAGCAAATATTTTATTGTGATTGATTTTATTAGGTAATTTTTGAAAATTGTATAGAAACTATTTTTATAAAAACTATTTTTTATCAATTATTAAATATTTTTTATATAAATAAATAAATACTGAAATACTAAAACTCATAATAAAAGCTAATTTGTTATATGTGATATAATTTTAAAGAAAATAAATAGTTAATTTGTGATAGAGTTTAGGTAATTTATGTTAGAGTTTTATAGAAACTCTTTAAAAATATCATTGTTTAATGTGATAGAGTTTTATTAAAAATAAAACATCTAATTTGTGGTACAATTTTATATCAATTATTAAATATTTTTTTAATTAATAATTATTGTCTAGTTATATTTTCTTTTATTAAAAAACTCATAATAAATATACAAATATGTAATTTGTGTTAGAGTTTTATATAAACTCTTTTAAAAAATTATTTAATTTTATTTAAATATATATCATTGTCTAATTAGATTTCCTTATATTAAAAAATTCAAATTAAATAGATAAATACATATTATATGTGATTAAGTTTTAAAGAAAATAAAATCGATAATTTGTGTTAGAGTTTGATAGAAAATCTTTTCTTTTTTTCCTGTAAAAATATTTCTAAAAATTTCATAAATATAGGTTATATGTAATAGAGTTATATAGAAAATAAAATAACTAACTTGTGATAGAGTTTTATATAAATTATTTTATTTTGTTTAAATATATTCTTGTCTAATTATATTTTATTTTATTAAAAAAACTCATAACAAATAGATAATATGATAGACTTTTATAAAAAACAAAACAGTTAATTTGTGGTAGAGAAAAAATTATTTATTTATAGATCAATTAATAAATATTTTTTATATCAATAATTCTTGTCTAGTTAGATTTTCTTTTATTAAAAAATTCTTAGTAATAAATATGTTAATTTGAATTTTAATAGGTATATTTTAGAGTTTTTTATTATTATTATTATTTTATATATAAAAACTCTTTTTGTATGAATTAATAAATATTTGTTTATTTGTGGTAGAGTTTTAGAAATTTATTTTATTTTATATATCAATTGATAAATATTTTTTTATATCAATAATTTATTTTCTAATTATATTTTCTTTTATTAAAAAAATCTTAATAATAAATATGTTAATTTAAATGTTATTAGGTAGATTTTAGAGTTTTATAGAGTTTTTTTATAAAAACTCTTTTCATATGAATTAATAAATATATTTTTTATATGAATAAATAAGTACTGAAACTCTTTGCATATTTAATAATAGTATAGATAAAAACTCTTTTTATATCAATTAATAAATATTTTTATATATTAATAATTCTTGTCTAATTAGATTACCTTTTATTAAAAAAAGTCATAATAAAGGATAATTTGTGGTAGAATTTTAGAAAAATCATTTTATTTTTTATATCAATTAAAAAATATTTTCTATATGAATAATTCTTGTCTAATTATATTTTCTTTTACTAAAAATTTTATAATAATAAATTGATAAATAGGTAATTTGTGTTAGAGTTTATAAAAACTCTTTTAAAACTTCTTTTTATATCAATTAATAAATAATTTTTTATATTAATAATAGTTGTCTAATTAGATTTTCTTTTATTAAAAAATTCATAATAAAATAGATAAATAGGTAATTTGTGTTAGAGTTTTAGAAAAACTCTTTAAATATATATCTTGTTCTAGTGTGTTAAAGTTTTATTGAAAATTAAATAGATAATTTGTGATTGAGTTTTATAGAAATTATTTTTATTTTCTTTAAATATACTTGTCTAATTAGATTTAGTTTTATTAAGAAACTCATAATAAAAGCTAATTTGTGATAGAGTTAAAAAAAAAAAAAAATTTATTTTATTTTATATATCAATTAATAAATATTTGTTATATTAATAATTATTGTCTAATTAATTTATTTTAATTAAAAAATTCATAATAATAAATAGATAAAGGAGTTAATTTAAATTTTATTAGGTAGATTTTTTTTTTATTATAAAAACTCTTTTCATATGAATTAATAAATATTTTTTTATATAAATAAATAAATACGTACTTACATACCGAAACTCTTTCCATATTTAATAATAGTATAGATAATTTTTTTTTTATATCAATTAAATAGATAATTAGTGACAGAGTTTTATAGAAATTATTTTATTTTCTTTAAATATATACTTGTTTAATTAGAATTAATTTTATTAAGAAACTCATAATAAAAGTTAATTTGTGGTAGAGTTTTAAAAAAAATTATTTTATTTTATATATCAATTAATAAATATTTTTTATATTAATAATTATTGTCTAATTAGATTTTCTTTTATTAAAAAATTATAATAATAAATACTTAAATAGGTTAATTTAAATTTTATTAGGTAGATTTTAGAGTTTTATAATTTTTATTTATTTATAAAAACTCTTTTCATATCAATTAATAAATATTTTTTTATATAAATAAATAAATACTTAAATACTGAAACTCTTTGCATATTTAATAGTTGTATAGATAAAACTCTTTTTTATATCAATTAATAAATTTTTTTTATATAAATAAATAAATACTGAAACTCTTTGGCAGAGTTTCTGTATTTTACTCTGGAATTCTGAATTTTTAGAATTCTGAATTTTTGTACCCCTTCGTCCTTCCTCCATGCGTCTCTTTATAGGCTTCTTGGATTAATAGGATGATGACATGTGTCCTTTCCTGATAATGACATAATCATAACTGGGCCGGGCTCGTTATATTGTGATAATTATACATAAAAAAATAACTATTTTTTTTATATCAATTAATAAATATTTTATTGTGATTGATTTTATTAGATAATTTTTAAAGTTTTATAGAAACTATTTTTATAAAAATTATTTTTATATCAATTAATAAATATATTTTTTATATAAATAAATAAATAAATACTGAAATACTGAAACATTGAAATACTTTGTACATTTAATAATAGTATAGATATGTCAGTGTTTTTATTTATTATTTTAATAAGACAAATAAGCTAAATAAAATATAAACAGTTAAAAAAAAAAAAAAAAATGGTTGTTGAAAATTGTAGTTGGGAATGGTAGTTGAAAAATATTAGTTGTTGTGTCAAAAAATAGCATTTTTGATTAAATGCACCATTGGAGTAGAATTGGTAAAATATAATATTTTGACACTATAGCTCATCTTAAAATATAGATTTGACATGCAAAAATGATATTTTGCATTGGAGATGATCCAAGAAGTAGAAAAAATGTAAAAAGGAGGAGAATAAAATATAGACAGTAGGATATAATGTATCACAAGTAAACATATTAAAAAAATATATAAAATTAAATAAAATCACATCAAATAATTATTATTATTTTAAAAATCCATTTTGCACAATAACACTGAGAAATTAATGTCAATTTTTCAATTGGTTCCATCAATTAACAAAGAGCAATTGCCGTCAAAAAAATAATTTCTCTTAACGAAATCAAATAAGCGATTCTATAATCACTTGAAGATTGCATCACATTTTATACATAATCCTTTGTTTATGAAATTTTCCTAAAAACTCATTGTGCCTGTAAATTCACCTAAATTGATCCCAATTTGTTTTAGTATAATACTAGTACTATTTTCTTCACAAAATAAATCTATAGTTTTAACTAATCATTTCATTGTTGTAATTATAATGAAATGAAACTCACCAATCTATCCAAGGTGGGGGGTGTTCGAGCCCAATAAAGATAAAATATAGTGAGTGTTGAACTTTTATTTTAAAAAAATTTAATGGAAAAATTACTCCCAAATTGCTAGGTAATACTGATCCATAATTGCGGAAGTAATAGAATTGATTTCTGTCAAAATAAGAATATGAGTAGACAACAAAATAATAAAAGTGGCAAATAAACCTCACAAGTTTTATTTAAAAATCAATGAGAGAGATACAAAGAAAGGCCACCTGCCAAAGGTGGTCCTGAAGTGCTGAATAGGGCATGGGCTTAAAACTCGTATCCTCTCTTTCTCCCTCTAAAATTCGATTCTACCCAGTACCCATTAACAACCATATCGCTGTTCTCAATCTAAATTGACCAGACAAATCAATTGGATGATGTTGAGAGTGTGGAAATGGTACCAGAATTGCTTGTCGGTTCATCCAGTGAAGACCCAGGTCATCAGCTCCGGATTTCTCTGGGGCGTTGGAGATATCGTTGCCCAATCCATCACTCACTCTACTGCCAAGAAACATCTTCAAATCTCTGTGAGTACCCGTTATTCGTATCCCCATATTTTCCTGATTCGAATGTGCAAGTGTGTGTGTGTGTGTATATATATAAGAATTTGTGCACATATACACGCACATACATGCTTAGGTTTATTATTAAAGTATTGGGTGTATGCAATAACGGAAAAAGAGCAATTCTTTCAATCTTGTGCAATTTTTATCTCCAATGATACTTTAAATCCTCCCTGTATTATACCCCAGCACTTTTAATCTTTTATTAGCCTTTATTCCCTTGAACACACCTATATCTACAGTGCTTGTCTAATTGTGAGTAAGAAGTTGAAGGACTTCAATCAAACCTTGCTTGGGGGTTACTCTAAAGATAAGGACAGCTTTTAGAAAAGTATTATTAGAGATGTATGGGAATCTGGAGGTGACTGAATGTCTATAGAGGTTATGAAGTTGCATGGTGTTTGTTTGTGGAAGACCATCAGGGCTGGACCAGATGATTTTATTTAAAATTTCTGGTTCAAAGATGGAAATGGCATCTAATGAGCTCTTGGAATTACATTTAATGTGGGACTTTAGTTTTGGGGGGACATTTACCAGTATAAGATAGTTGCGAATAAGGAAGCTTTGGTGGCTGACTACTACTAGAAATCACAGAGCAGAGTATTGTGGGACGCAATGATTAGGAGGATTATTCATTATTGGGGGATGGAGGGTGAAGTTGTGGGCTTGATGGGAGGATGTGGCTTTGGGGTCCTACGAGGAGTGGGATGTCTGAAGTTAGGTTGGCTTACAAATAATTGGTGGGAGACTTAGATGGCTAGTTCCCACAGAAATGAACTTGGGCCTAGGGGCACTAGAGCTTAAATGCTAAATCTGAAGCAGCATTCTTTGCTTGTATGGTGGCACACTGGGAAAGCTTCACATAAATAATGTAGTCAAAAGGAGAATATTCCTTCCAAATTGGTCTTCCATGTTCACACTGGCTGATATGCTTGGTGGTTGGAAGAGTGAGACAGTAGAGAGTAGGAAAATATGATGTGAAAAACTGCTTCACTTTATTAGAAGTGGAGCATGTGGAAAGAGAGATTGTTAGATCATTTGCAAATGTGGAATTGCCTATTTATATGATAAGCAAGTATTTTGAGTTTCTATAGTTTTTAAGAAGAGGGTGGAGCTGTTCATTGTTCCTTTTTGGATTTTGTGGATTATATGGATAGTCAAGTTTTATCTCAGTGACGGACATGTTTTATGTACTTGTGATTTTGGGGTCTTTATTTATAGGTTCCCCCACCTTTGGTCCTTTAATGAATTTGTAATCTACCTATGCACCTCAAAGTTTTTAAAAGTAGATGATTCTATCTTGGGCTCTAAGCTGTGTACATTGAGTTGCACAATCTTCATTAGTTGGTAGTAATTATACCTACATCTCCATTGCTATTATTCCTGATTTTCTTATAACATATTAATATTTTGACATGCATTCTGATAGACCTTCAGTGGTCTCATTGATATTATCTGTTATAAGTGGAATTCAGACTGCATGACTTGCATTTGCCTTCTTTTACATTAGCTCAAACTTCAAGTCTGCATGGACTTGTTTGGCTTTGTACCTATACAAGATATTTAGCATCTGGTAAAAGAGGATCCTTTATTTTGAACCCAAGGCAACATTACTTAGTTCTGGTCTGGTCTATGCCGGTAATGGTGGGGAAGATTGGAGATAGACTTTGTATTTGACATTATTTTTGTACAAAGTAGCTGTTTTTTTCAGCCGGAGCTGTTACCATTGCACCGATATATATATATTTTTTCTAATAATTAGTAGCTAGGTTGAGTCACTATGACATTCAGACAGTGGGTTGGGATGGCAATGGGGCGGAGTTAGGGCGGGTTTAGCTAAACCTACTCTACTCCGTTAGAAATTTCGTCATTCCAACTCTGTCCCTATTCTAGAACAGGTTTGTAGTTGGTATACCATCTTCGCTCTTACTCCGACAGACAAAGTATCAACTTCGCCCTGCGTACTTCATTTAATTGCGGGGGTGGTGCGGGTTATACCACTTTTATTATTTTGTAAAAAAAAAACTAACCCAATGTGCTCAAATTGGGTTGATAAATAAGCTAACCCAGCTTTTAAATTAGGGCTAAAATCTGAAAACCCCCATATTGTTTACAAAAACTATCTACTAACCCCCTCAACTACAAAAACTATCATATCACCCCCTCCCTGTTAGTTGACCGTCAAAAATTAACGGAGTTTATCACGTGCACCCTATATTACATTATAAGTCTAAAATACCCTTATTCTATATAGTCTCTACAGTTTCCTCTATTTCTCTCTCACACCCAAACACACCCAAACACAAAGACCTCATCACAGGAGCTCTAATCTTTGCTCTTGCATCATCTCGTCATTGGTGACTTCTTCGTCTCAACATAAATAGACCCCATCCGTAGAGCAAGTGGTATTTCTCTTATGTGGCATGGTGGGGAGGATGATGTTGAATTGGATTTCCCCCTACCTAAGCTTACTCTTCTTCGGACTTGGTTGTTACAGAACGTTAGCTATAACTCTTATGACCATGACTCGGTATAGCCAGAAGTGACTGCGGCCTGAACCCAAATCTTCACAAAATGGAAAAAGGAAGAACTTCTTGAAGAAGGTTAATTTCGATATCAAGATTGAACTGCATCTTCTTTTGTAATGCTTGCATCTATCAACAACCCATTAATCAGATTATCAGAACTCATGTTTTACATCAAACAGAACACAACCCATATCGGATTTTCCTATTTACCAGTCCACTCGCTGTCGCCCCTCTCCGAACGTTGGCGTCGATGAAGTCAGTAAAGTTGGCGTCGATGAAGTCAGTAAAGTTGACGACTTCGCCCCACAACCATCAACATGACGACGACAACTATATCAGTTGATTGCGAAGCCGCCGGTGAAGGCAGAGCCGTACCGGCACCGTCGTCGTGGCGGTGGTGGCATTGCTTATTGCCACTGCCACGTGGCTGCCGCTCGTCTTCTCTGGGACCACCATACATCGCTGGAACCATTTTATGAGCCGGGAAGGAAGCCCTAATGGACCCGATGAAGACGGGCAGGAAGAAGGCCTAATTCAGCGTTCGTCGGAATGTTGTTCCGGCAAACGTTCCACGGCGTAGGAATTTTTAATTCCCAGGTTAAAATTACGAGTCACAGGTTGTAAATTTTATACATCTTTTTTATATTTAAGAATTGATGAAATAATATACAGAAGTAATTATATAATGCGCACCTCTACAGTCTCCTATAATTATAGTAATTATATATAGTAATTATGGTAATTATATAGTAATTATATATATAATTATATGTAAAATTATAATTATATATAATTACTATAATTGTATTTAAATAAATATTAAAATATTATTAAGGGCATTCTTGTCATTTTGCAAGAACTTAATGGTTCTGTGACGGAATGGGGGCAATGTGATAGTTTATGTTATATCAGGGGATTTTTTAATACTCAAGGGGGTTAGTAGATAGTTTCGATAAACAACATGGGGGTTTTCAGATTTTAGCCCTTTAAATTACTAAGTAGTGAATATTAATATATTAACTAACATTTGCAGCAAATTAACAAGGGCCTTAAAAATATTAAATATATATTTTATATATATATATAAATTTTAAAGGTACATATATAATCGGGGCGGGGGTGAGGCGGATTTATTATTTAATCCGCCTCCGCCCCAAACCCGCTTCGGGTTTCTAATTATTTAACCTTACCCGCCCCAAATTCATTTAGGGGGCTACCAAATCCACCCCATTAGGGGCGGGGTGGGGCGGAAACCTACCGGGTCGAAAGAAATTGCCATCCTATGTCAGTGGGTATGTTTTCATAGTTTACAACCAAAATGCGCTCTTAGGATTTTTGTGCATTTATTTGTCATTTGCTTGTCAGTCCTGGCGATCCATATGCCATGTGTAGCTAATAAATCTTAGTCTTACACTCAAGGAAGTCATGTGAAATTGGCAGTCGTCCTTGTAAGTCTTTTTTTCTTGAATGTGTTCACTTTGGTGAATTACACACATTAACCTAGGGGTTGACTTAGGTGTTTGTATTGATAAAATTGAAAATTAAGTATAAAAATCTTAAATGCTGAATTTTAAGTGCTAATTATAAATTGATAGTTTCTTTTGAAACTTTTTTAAATATTAAGTGTTTAGTGATAAGTATATTCACCTCCACTTAAAATTTTATGCGGAATAGATAAATTACTAAATTCCGTCCCTGTTTGTGTGTCTTCCAATTCTATGTTGTCAACTATTACACAACATGCATTAGCTGTGTATGGTACATGATGGAGTGCTGTTGTATATCCCAACCTTTTTGTTGTTAAAAAGGCACCAAGGGCTTTTTGGTTAAAGTTATGACGGTCATACAAATTGTATTATTTAAATTTAAAGCAAAAACCTATCAAGTAACACGGGCATATGTCTTATGCAGGATGAATTCTTAAGTAAATGTTTTTGTTTTGTTATGTTTTTCCATTTAATTTCATTTTCTTTGGTTTCCGTTGATGCTATAGCAGCATTGGCATTTGATTTTCCTGTTTTTCTATTTTGAAGCTGATGTCAATGCTAGTATTTGACTTAAAAGTTATAATGAGCGTCTATCAATGAGTTCTTTTGCACAAATTGGGACTGAAATATCGGTTTCTTGAAGCAGGATGCAGGTGAAGAATTTAAAATTAACTGGAAACGGGTCGCTATCACTAGTATGTTTGGATTTGGTTTTGTTGGGCCAGCAGGGCACTTCTGGTTGGTTATTCCTGGCTTGTTCTATCCATTCTGTTTATAGCGTTTAGTTTAGTTTCCAGCTTTAAATTTATGAATCATCCTTCCTTTCTTTTTTTCTTTTATTTTCTTCGTAAATTACAGTTACTGTTAGATCCTTAGGTACATTATTGTGCAATTAGGGTGATAGATTGCAGATTGATTGTTTCACTTGTATTGTTTAGACTGAAGATGCATTCGCTGCACATTGGGTACTCACTTGGGGTACTCACTTGTGTGTTTAATCTGATTGTATGCTGTGTACATCCTGAGATGACATCCCAAACAGGTTCACAGAAATGAAAAAAAATGGAAGGTAAGTGGACAAAGAGCAAGTGCCTTGTAAATACTTGATACATTAGAAATGCTAGAAATAGAGAGCAAATAAAAATTTACAACATTGTGTTAATGTATACATACACATCCAATGTGACATTTTCTCAAAGCTGGAATGTTGAACGTTGTTGAAACACGAGTTTGGGTTGAAAATAAATAATTAGTTTAACCAGCATTTTTATTGAAACTTCTGGAGCTGAATGCAGATGTTTAAATATCAAATGCCCAATTGACTATAGAACAGAGATGTCTGTGTGCGCAATTGAAGGAGGAGAATTGATGGGTTATTTGTTTCCATTGTAGGTATCAAGGCTTGGACCGATTGATTAGGTTTAGGCTTCAACTACAGCCAAAGTCTGTACGATTTGTTGCTACTAAAGTTGCATTGGATGGTCTAATCTTTGGCCCCTTCGATTTGCTTGTGTTTTTCACCTACATGGGATTTTCAGCTGGTAAGAATGCTGCTCAAGTTAAGGAAGATGTGAAAAGGGATTTTCTCCCTGCGTTGATTCTGGAGGGCGGTGTATGGCCAGCTGTTCAGGTTTTGAATTTCCGATATGTTCCAGTGAAGTACCAGCTTCTTTACGTAAATATCTTCTGCTTGTTAGACAGTGCTTTCTTGTCATGGCTGGAACAACAGAAAGATGCACCCTGGAAGCAATGGTTCATGTCAGTTCCTTCTCTTAAAAAACAAGAAGGTCAAGGCAGATAATGGTCTCTGCTATCTCTTCCCTTGCGTTTTTCCTCTTCAGTAGTCTTGATGGATGATTCACAGCATTTCATTCATGTAAAACTGTAAGAAACACAAATGAAGAAAAAATAAAAATAAAAAATGCCAACTTCTCCTTTTTGTAAGATGGAATGTGGGAATGATTATGCCTACGCCATTTATTGTTGAAACCGATCTTTGCTTCTAACTCAATGATAGATACAAGCCTATTACTTTGATGGGAATCTTAATTGTTCACTGCATTCTCCTCAACTTTTCTAGTTGCTGGTTGAAAATCATATGCAAGAATTACTATTTGTGGGAACTTTTTAAGTGCTCAACTCTTCTTCCTAAAGAGATTATAGCATGACTTCTGCAATAGGACGGCTTTTCATGCCTGCAGGAATAATCTAGATAAAAGTTTTAGTTACAAAAAATAAAAATAAAATTGTCTCAACATTTAAACACTAGGAATTTGGGCTCCAACCTGAGAAATGAGCATAAAGGGCTTGAACTTTGGAAGAAAATAAAATAATGTCCTGGTGGGGGCTAAATATAATTTTCTGAGTCAACAAAAATAAAAAATAGTAAATGACAGATAAATTTGGTGAAAATGTTAAAGTAAAAATCTTCAGTTTTTTAGTTTTTTTTGGTGAATAAAATTAATAAAAAGGTGTCTTCAATGTCTATTGTCTAAAAACACAAAATTAATGTCTTGATCAATCAAAAGTTAAGTCACACAATCATTGTCAATAAGTGGCACACTCGCATTCTTGCTCTACATGCTCCTGCTTATGTTTTCACTATTTGCAATTTTGCTGTCTTCGCAATTTCACTTTCGAATTTGTTCTCGCCCCTCTTTATGTGACTTAAATTAGAAGTTAAATTTTACATTTATTTACTTAAAATATAGTTGCAAAGAATTGTCCATTTTTAATTGGCCATCTATACAATAATTAAGGAAAGAAATTGGGCCTCCACTTGTTTATACTTTACAACTCTTTCGATTTAAATATCACTACTCCACTGGATTATGGTTTCCACAAACACGAATAAACTTATCCACGATTGGAAGAAGAAATCCTCGTGTTCCCAAACAGATCGGTAAAGAAAAAATGTTCTCCGCGCACCCTGCGTAACTGTACAGTGTTTCCTCATATAAAACCCAGAAACAGAGTAGTATCAAGAAACGTGAACTCAACTCCTACACTGCGCATAAATAACACCACAGTCAGCCTTTCACTAAGAACTCTCTCTCAATGTGGGAACTTTCGCGCCAAATAATTCAGCATTAGAGAAGGTCGTCACACTCACCATGATCGTCACTCCTCTAATCTACAAATTCAGTTTCTCTCTCCTTGTCCTCCTCATCTCAATCTCTCTCTTTCAATTCAAAACCTCCCTAGATCGAACTCAGCTTTCTTCATCCCTAAACCAAACCCTAACCCTAACCCTAACGACGAAACAAAGATCCGAGTCGGACCTAACAACCAATCAAGAACAACAACAGCAACAACAAGAAGAAATTACTCGCAAGAACTATATTGTCAGATTTGTTGAATACAAGAGAGCCGAAGATCACAAAACGTATCTTGAAGAGAATGTCAAATCGGACCGTTGGGAATGGATTGAGCGGAGAAACCCAGCGGCGAAGTTTCCCACTGATTTCGGCTTGGTGTCGATTGAAGATTCAGTTCAGCCGGCTTTGATTGAGGAGTTTGGGAAATTGCAGCTGGTGAAGGATGTATGGGCCGATTTGAGCCATCAAAGGAGCTTGCTTCAGAAAGGAACGAAGAAACTTGGGGCTTTTGTGGATGGGAAGAAGCGGCCGGGGAAAATTTTCACGGCGATGTCGTTCAGCGAAGGAGATCAATACGTGGCTGCGGAGACTAGTAATTTGACGATTCACTGGAAACGTCATCTTATGATGCAGGTAAGCTTCATTATATTTATCTGTGTTTTTATTGCATAGTGTGATTTTTTATTTTTATTTTTTTTTCCCTTAGTTATTGCATAGTGTGATTCTTGATTTCTTTTTAAATAATTTGTACTAATTATGATGGTTTAATCTCAATTTCAGAGTGTTCTTCAAAATCGGAGTGTTCTTGTTCTGTTAACTATTATGTTTTTAGACTGTGATTCTTGAATTGCTTTCTTGCAGAAGTCTCAAGTCACATCCTTATTTGGTGCGGATGTGCTTTGGGCGAAAGGGTACACTGGCTCAAAAGTCAAAATGGCCATATTTGATACTGGAATCCGGGCAGACCACCCACATTTCCGTAATATAAAGGTATCTTTGTTGATAGAGTATGTTGGAGTCCATTAGTGTTCTTTTCAGTCAGGTGTGTTCAATTGAAACTGTATCTGGGTATAGAATTCTATTGCATCTTGAAAGAAAAACTCCTTAATTTACCACCAATGGCTTAGCTTAACTGGTTTATGGAAGGTTGAGGGTTGGAGTTCTCATTGGGACAAATTTGAGCGAGTGATTTACTTGCCCTCCACCCTAAGAGAAAAAAACTCCTTAATTTGCTATAATACGATTGGTTAGGGTGGGGTTGATTTTCATGTTGCACTGTTTCAGGAGCGTACAAATTGGACCAATGAGGACACTCTAAATGACAATCTTGGACATGGGACATTTGTTGCTGGAGTTATTGCGGGTGACTATGGAGAGTGCCTTGGTTTTGCTCCAGACACAGAGATTTATGCTTTTCGTGTGTTTACTGATGCGCAGGTAATGCATAGTGTGCATTTCAACTAATGGATTCATATCACCAATTTGTGTAGAATTTGCATTACCTTTCCTACTTTCTCTTTGTATTGCAATTGAGATAGAGGATATAATATTGTCATTTGATTTGCTCAAGAGAAGGCTAACAATCAGTGCTTTATTTACTAAAAAATGTCGCATTGGAGATTTCAGCCACAAATTGCTCGATGCAAAAGAAGGGGCATAGATGATATCCTCGTTGGATTTGGTCTCTTCAGTGTTTATTCCTTTTGTTATGTGAACTTGATGCTCATGGTGTTGTGATCAATGCTATAAAATGGTGGTCTTTGGGTTAATTATCACCTGCTGTTTAATATGAGCAATTTTAAGCTTTTGGTTACTATGTAATATGATCTATCTTGGATTTTGGATCTGTTGAACAAATAATGGACCACGACCAAGGGTTGTAGCCCAGTGTTATATTCTCTACCTACAAAAGTGGAAAGTTGAGAGTTCAAGTCCCTACAAGGGCGAAGTGGGTGTGTGGGTTATTTGCCGGAAAGAATAAAAATAAATATTACAAGATAAAAGAAAGAGCCACAAATTCGGTTTTGAAGATGTATTTTTCAAAATAAGAAAATATGACCACGCATCAAAAGTACTATGAATTGTGAACTACAAAAATTCAAGCCAAGAGCAGCGAGTATGAGCAAAATTTTAGAAATTCCAATTCAGTATGCTAAGTATGCTTCAAGACATAATTCTGATTGCATTTCCTTTTACTAATCTAATCTGATAATATTGTTTCAACTTATCAAAAAAACAACTGATAATATTGTTTTGGCAAGACTATGAGAAGTTTGTATTCAGCTCATTGCAGGTATCATACACATCATGGTTCCTTGATGCATTCAACTACGCGATTGCAACCAAAATGGATGTTCTAAATTTGAGTATAGGTGGACCTGATTACTTGGACCTTCCTTTTGTAGAGAAGGTAAGACTCCCATTCACATATTAACTCATCTTAACAAATCCTTATCCTAACTATTAGGAGTTGACTAAATTAATTTTATTTCTTCATTTTGCTCAATATGAGGCTGTTTTTACAGTTAAAACGCACATTATCGTATCTTTTTTACCATCCAATTCATGTTAATTTTGGCCTTTTCCTTCCCCTAGCACTTACCTACAATGTGGATCATATCACTCTTCCTCATTAATGCAGTTTTTTTGTCTTGTTGCAAATGGTCAAACTGTATTTGTACATCTTTTCTCATTTTATCTTCAATTGATGCTACTTCAACTTCTAATTTTTGTTCTTTTTTGTCTTACCATAGATCCATCTTACCATCTGCAATTCTATCATGCTCATTTTGTGAACATGTTTCTTAATAACATTTGGTCCCTTAAATGCGTAGTTGGTTTATGAACTGTTGATAGAATTTACTTTTTAATTTTACTATTATATGTCGATCATTTAATATGCTAGAAGCACAATGTAACCCATCCGAGTAACATCATTTCCAATTTTTCTCTATGTGAATAATGAAACGGTAATTACACCGTTTTCCTTTTGGTATTGCATCCTCACTTTTATTTCTAAAATTTCTCTAGTTGCATTTAATATAGTCAGTCTTACTCTTGGTTATTTTAAACCCTCTTAATTATAGATTTCTCTTCACCTCTAATTTTACCCGTGTCCTTAGTTTCATCAATCAAGACAATATAATTAGCAAATAGCAAGAGTAATTGACTATGACATTGAGAGAACATTGAAATCTTGATAAACATGTTAAGATTTTGGCATGCCTCAAGCATCTGGTGCTTCTTGCTCTGTTATGACGTCAGTACTGATCTCGAATTTCACAAGTGGTGGTCACAGTAATGTCAAGGATCCCGAAAGAATTTGGGATGTTTAGCCTAACATTCTCTATGAGGATCGAGTACCATTTTTGAAAGAAATTTCAAGTTTCTAAAATTTTAGTTGTGATTTGATTAGCTTTCCAATGTAAATATGTCATGAGATACTTGTGCTTATTTCTTTTGATCATTTTTGCCATTCATTCTAAGAACTAACATTACTTTAGTGATAAAAAATAATCTTATATGGCTGCATTTTTCACCAGGTCTGGGAACTGACGGCAAACAATATCATCATGGTTTCTGCAATTGGAAATGATGGACCACTTTATGGTACCCTAAACAACCCAGCAGATCAAAGTGACGTTATAGGTGTTGGTGGTATCGATTACAGTGATCACATAGCCTCATTCTCCTCACGTGGCATGAGTACTTGGGAGATTCCTCATGGGTATTCTTCTTTAAATTTTATTTTTGTTCTTGTCTGTCTGTTTTTCATTTGTATGGTTTAAATGTGTCCTCTTTTGATCCTCTTTCTGGTAGTCCATGATTAATGCACATGCATGCAGACATGTCTATGGTTGGACATTTAGCAGATAGGCATATCCGACAAAAGAGTACAAAAGAATTCCTTGATTACCACGAGTTTTCTAAAATTGCTTTTAAAATGAACACATGAAACTACTAATTTCAAATTGTTTTATCTAGATTGATATATGTACTATGATTGGATGCAGATGATATAATATCTTACATTTGGAAATTAAGTGGCATCCTACCATTTTGGGTTTAGATAGATCTGACTCTTATACAAAACTGCACCTCGACCTGTATGCCTTAGACAATGTGACATTGCTCCTCATTCACAAGTTTACTCACACTCACAAACACATTTACTGACATTGAATTTGAAAATCACGATACTAATCTGTAAATGATGGAGAAATTTTAATCTTTGTTGCACAGAAGAATTTTACCATCTTCCTTATGTTGGACAAAGACATCGTAATGCCGTTTTTGCATCATGAGAGTTGAGCTGTTTCTGAAGCTCCTTTTTCTTGTGCTATAAAGTACTATACAATGCCATCCTATACATGAACCATGTTAATCAATTGCTACTCACAACTTGTTAGCATGATTATCGGCGATGTTAATTTATTCATGAAGATTTTTACTTTTTGTTAATATGTTCAGTCATCCCTTGCTTTATTATTAAAATTCCTCCTTGCACAATCCACTTGCTTGGGCACCCTGAAAGTAATGTTACTTGCAACTTCTGGTTTGTCGATTCTTTTATCCACGCGACAAAAAAGATAAATTGACAGCAACAGCAAGTTATTTATTTATTTTTTTCCCGGAAATACCACGAGTTGTTTATACTGATGAAATTGTACATTTTTGACCAAGCAACTTTGCCCCTGCAGTTATGGTCGTGTGAAGCCAGATATTGTTGCATATGGACGGGAAATTATGGGATCCAAGATCAGCACAGGTTGTAAAAGTTTATCTGGTACTAGTGTGGCAAGTCCTGTAGTTGCTGGTGTGGTGTGCCTTCTTGTTAGTGTCATACCTGAAGCCAACCGAAAGGACATTTTAAATCCGGCAAGCATGAAACAAGCACTGGTTGAGGGGGCTGCAAAACTTTCTGGTCCAAATATGTATGAGCAGGGTGCAGGGAGAGTTGATCTGTGAGTTCTCCATGTAACCAGGCTCTTACTTTTACATGTTAATTTTTTATTACTACAAACACTGCTAGTTCTTGTTGACGCTACCATTATCCATTCTTGTTATTGTCATTATTATGTCTAATCTTTGTGTTACCGTTTCTGAGGTTTGAATTCTATGTCAGGTTAAAATCATACGAAATCTTGAAGACCTACCAACCTCGAGCAAGCTTCTTCCCTAGTATTTTGGATTATACTGATTGCCCTTATTCCTGGCCTTTTTGCCATCAACCACTCTATGCAGGTGCCATGCCTGTTATCTTCAATACTACCATTTTGAATGGGATGGGTGCAATTGGCTTTGTTAGAAGTCCACCAACATGGCATCCTTCAAATGAGGAAGGCAATCTTCTCAGCATTCACTTCACTTATTCGGATGTCATTTGGCCGTGGACTGGTTATATAGCACTGCACATGCAAATTAAGGAAGAAGGAGCTCAGTTTTCTGGAGTTATTGAAGGCAATGTAACAGTTGCTGTATACAGCCCTGCAGCCCCAGGAGAGAAGGGCCCTCGAAGTAGTACCTGTGTCCTTCACTTGAAACTGAAAGTGGTTCCAACTCCTCCAAGATCAAAACGGGTTTTATGGGATCAATTTCACAGTATCAAATACCCACCTGGTTATATTCCAAGAGACTCATTGGATGTTCGGAATGACATCCTTGACTGGCATGGGGATCACCTGCACACGAATTTCCACATTATGTTCAACATGTTAAGAGATGCTGGATACTATGTTGAAACACTTGGTTCGCCTCTTACATGCTTTGATGCAAATCAGTACGGAACACTTCTGCTAGTGGATCTTGAGGATGAGTACTTCACTGAAGAGATCGAAAAGCTGAGGGATGATGTAATCAATACTGGACTAGGTCTGGCTGTTTTTGCTGAGTGGTATAATGTCGACACAATGGTGAAGATGAGATTTTTTGATGATAACACACGGAGTTGGTGGACCCCAGTGACTGGAGGCGCGAATATCCCTGCATTAAATGATCTTTTGGCCCCATTTGAGATTGCCTTTGGAGATAAGATTCTGAATGGTGATTTTTCTATCAATGGTGAGCAGAGTCGTTATGCGTCCGGAACTGATATTGTAAAGTTTCCAGGAGGTGGATATCTGCACAGCTTTCCTTTCCTGGATAGCTCAGAGAGTGGAGCCACCCAGAATATTTTAAGCTCGAGTTTGACAAGGGTGAGCACACAAGGCTACTTCTATTTTCTTTCTGGTTGTTGAAAAAGAAAAGACCAAGTAAAAACAAAAGGTGAGGGTAAAATTATTTTTTGGATGGTATTACCTTTTAGGCTATGAAGAGTGAATTTTTAAGCAGTTTTATCTACTTTGTTACCCTATATGCCGCACCAGTAATTGAAACAATAGCTGGACAAGCATAATGAAAGCAATTGGAAAAATTTCCCGCGATGTAAATGTGACTAAAAAATTCAAAATTCTGTATTTGCAGTTGACCCTTTTTTAATCTTTATTTAATTTCTCTCTCAATTAATTAAAATTTTTGTAGATGAGTTGCTCTAAGTAGTTGATAATATTAGTACGTGTTGATAATTTTGTGAAAAATTAATGTGAAAAGTTTCATTAATGCCCAGCTGATGGACCATGTACACTTGAACCAAAGTTCATGTCATCAGATCAAGGACAATTAGAATCCCTCCAGGAACATGAAAATTATTTATCTTTTCTGTGACAATTTTGATGTAATGTGCACTATAAATTTAATGTGTATATCAATGATTGTAGGCAGACTCCCCTATTCTTGGTCTTTTGGAGATGGGTAAGGGTCGAATTGCAGTCTATGGAGACTCCAACTGTTTGGACAGCAGCCACATGGTGACTAATTGTTATTGGCTTTTGAGGAAAATATTAGATTTCACAAGCAAGAACATCAAAGATCCTGTACTTTTCTTGAACTCAGCTAGACGAGATACACCCTTATACCAAGATGACAACCAGTTACCATCTCGCAGAACTGATGTGAATTTCTCTACTTATTCTGCGGTTGTTGGAAAGGAATTGGTCTGTAGGAGTGACTCCAGTTTTGAGGTATGGGGGACTAAGGGCTATGGTTTACAGGTCAGGGGAAGAAACCGCAGACTGCCAGGCTATCCTGTTATCGATTTGGGGAGTGGTTCAAACTCTACTGTGGAGACTTCTGATATGAAGCAGCCTAATTTGACTGGGAAGAAGAAGGATGATTCTTCGGGAAACAAGTACTTGGGTTTATTCTATGGAGAGGATGTAAGAGACTGAAAATAGTACTTTGTGGTTCTCTTTTGATTTAATATTATTGATTCTTTCCCATCAGTTCTGCTCATCATTTATATTCTAGAGACGCTGAAATTACTGTCATTTTATGCCTTTATTTGCAGCTTGATATGCCTGTGCTTGTCGCAAGTCAGTGGCTTGTACCTTCTATTGTTGCTGTTTCTGGTTAGTGCACATCATTTGATCTCAATACTTGAGCACAGTAAATCACTTCAATTCTTGCGTGTTTTAATTGACATGTATGCTGGTTGTTAGGCCTTCTGCTTTTCTTAATCTTGTGGAGACTTCGACAAAGGCGCAGGAGGCGGAGGAAGGGATCTGGCTCTGGTCGTTTTGGCAATTTATAGTCATGGATGAATTTTGAGATGGCCTTTCTCCTGTACGATTGCTACACACGGTCAAGAGTGTTGTCTCCTGTAACTTTGTTGCACAGCTTGAGAATTTTGGTGTCCGCATTATCATGGGAAAATGAGTTTTGTATTCATAATCTACACTTGTAGCTTTTTTCTTTGTTCGGATTATTTGCAGTGCACAAATATTCTGAATGTAATGAAAAATCATAGATCCCTCCAAGCAACGGGGCTTCAGCGCTGGGCAAGAATGCGGTTTCTATTCCTTAGCAAGTGCAGTGTCATAATGTCTTCTTCTGCTCTCGAGCAGGTTAACTTTTCCTTGTTAATGTATAGGGGAAAATTATTGATAAATTTCACAAGAAAATGCTTGGAATCTGTAACTCTTTAATTGGCTTATAAATATACAGTTTTAACTGAATTTCAGGCGCTTCGTTGATGATGTTGTTATTGGTTTCAATTTTGAGTATTGCGACCTTGACTGATATGGCCTGAGCTGACCACTTACCAACATGATCCATATGGTGTCGGTGATATTCACTGGAGAAAATTTCTCGTTTCTTGAAATCGAAACAAAGCTATAATGTAGTAGAACCTTTTCTTCTTAAAGTTGAGAGTTCAAATATCTGTGTGGTGTGGGTTCTTTTTTTTTATTTTATCAAGTTCTACTCATTTAAAGAAGAGAGTTTATAGTATGTAGATTAGTGTCCCATTGTTATTTGTCAGGGATTATTTTTTGGGTCTAATCATAGACGTCGAAGCGGATCCTCTCTTTGTACACCTAAACTATTCTTTTTAGAAAATATTTTTTTTTATCCAGGTAAAATATTCTTTTATTTTTACTTTGTTGGTGTTTGGCAAAAGTCTACGTTGAGAATGAGGTCCAATCCATCGAGTGAGATATGTAAAATAATTTGCCGAAAATTGATGGATAAGTTATTTTTGTTAACTTTTAATATTTTTTTTTTCGTAAAATATTTACGACAACCAAACATCTGAAAATTTACATCCAAACAAACGAAGCCTAATGTATAATTTTGAACGGTACAAACTCAACAATTTAACACTCATCCAGAAGAAAATAGAAAAAGGATTAGATTTGATTAATTTTAATTCCACATACAAACTCAACAATAGAAAATAGAAAAAGGATGAGATTTGATTAATTTTAATTCCACATAATCATTGAGTTTTTGGAAGGCCATATACAGTCCAAATGAGTCAACTACTAGTTGAGTTCAACATATAGCATGGATATAAATGCCGTTGAATACAGATTGAAAGAAGGGAGGAGAAACTTTTAAAATTAGTCTCCTTTCCACAATTTGATTTACTTAACAAGTAGGGGAAAGAATAGGGTTCTTTTAACGGGTTGCAAAAGCTACACATTCTGCAAGTGGGATGATTTAACTTAGGTGATTAATTTTTTTCTTTTCTTTTTGGATTTAAGTGATTGCACAGTTATGCTTATTTATTTTCGGTAAATAAAGTGAACAGCCATGCTTATTCTATTCTTTTCATTTCCTTTCACATCTTCTTAATCAAACTAATAAAATTTACTTACCCAAAAAAAAAAATAATAATAATTTCTCTTTCGTTCTTGCATTCTCTTTTCTTATACTCCAGAATGAAAAACTACATGCAGTGAAAAACACAACTCAGGAGAGTCTGGTGAATCTAGAATGTGGCACCACCTTAAATTAACTGTTTGATAACTAAAAACCACAGTGGAGTTTCAACAAAGTCGCTTTGGCCGAGTGGTTAAGGCGTGTGCCTGCTAAGTACATGGGGTTTCCCCGCGAGAGTTCGAATCTCTCAGGCGACGTTTACTTTTTGTTCATCTTAACTAAAAGATGAAATGAATATTATTTTTCTTTGGTTTTTTTGGCACACTTTTCTTCAAATGATAGCCAATAACTAGACTGGGAAATCAATGAAAAGAAGAAATGTAAAGGCAAGAGAATATTTTGTTTGAAGAAGAGCATGGTTTATTAAGTAGGTGGAAATGGGTGAACTTATTTCTATTTGGAAGCACCTTCAACATTAATGGACTTTTGGCTGTCACCTGAGAAAATTGACTTTTGAACAATATTAATTGCAGCTTCTGTTTTCATCATGCACTCAATTAAGTGGTGTCTTGGAAAGAAACTGATTGATTTGTCAATTGTGTAGACAAAATTGGGTGGGTGGATTAATTTATACTTATTCAATTCCTAAAAACAACTCAGGAAAACATTGGCATATATATATGCTTGATAATACTACTCCTACTTAAATAAAACAGAGTTTGTTTATTCTATAAAAACTCCAAATATTTTACAAATATTATTAGTAGGTGTAATATAGGACCCCATTGCCACTACCTGGGGATGCTGGCTGATATATGACAAACATATAAAACTTGGTCACGGGTCCTGAGGCTGACCCTACTGCTTCAAAGCCTTCAATGTGCATGCTCACTCTTTCTATCTCTTAATGTTCACAATTATCACATTAAATGGAAGTTTGAAATACAATATTATACACCAACTTTAACAAAAGTAATATATATATATATATAGTTCTAATTAATTAAAATTAAGAAATGGGGTGTTTGAATTTTTCAGAGCCACTTTGGTCATACACAGCTGCTAGCATCAAACCAAAGCAAAAGTAGGGCTTAATTACGAAATTAATCAATGTCATTTGCAATGGTTTCTGCTTGTCACTCACCTAACTTCAACTTCAAAACCTGAAACAAACTAACCCAAAACTGTCTGTTTGCTATTTGGTACGTTAGACTTTGGAAGTAAAGGGCAATCAACTGAACCGATTAGTTTGTTTCTGTCTTCTTGGAAGCTTCTAGGACTTCAAGATGCTCTTGTAGAGAGAAATCTAGGGAGACAGAGAGAAAGACCTTGACATTATATAGTCATATATATATATATAATTTTGGGAATTGGGATATATGGTGGGTATACATAGAGTATAATTTATTCCTTATTGTTGAGTGTCGTCTTATATAAGACTCCCACTTTTTTTCAATTTTTGAAAAAGTTTGGACAAGACACGAGTATATTGACAAAGGATTGATTTAAATCTATTAGATTGCTAGAATCAAACATGGAAAAGGTGACAATATTGCCTTTGTCATTCACCCTCAAACTCATTTTCCAAAACACACACACACACCATCTCTCTCTCTCTCTCTCTCTCTTTCTCTCTCTGACATTCATCTTGAGTGAAAGGAGAGCAGAGGGTGGTAGTGTTCATCTCACAACATTGGAAATTTAAGTTGTTCACACGAATCTCATTGTAAAATTTGATTGGAAGTGAATCCAGTACTAGTTTACAAGCTGCCAAACTGATAAATTCCATGGCTTAGAGTACAAATTTACAGTGCTAGCTGTTGCATGTTGCGGTGCAGACCTAATTGATCACCATATATCTGTTGATCCAATGGCCTATATATTTAACAAGAAAATTAAAATAATGAAATAGAAGGTTAACGTATTTAATATTTTTGACTTATTACCAAACAATACCCCCACCAATAATGTTGGTGGGGGTATTTTAGTAAAAGTAACCTCCCTCAATTAGTTGGAAGGGATTTTTAATAGAATAAATTAAAAAGTGAGTTGACTTTCAAAAACTACAAACTCATTTTTATGCAATTCACCTTTAATTTGGACAGAACCAAGTTTTATAATTTATGCTTTGCGATTTGACCAAGGTAAAAAACTTGTGGTCTGATAAAGAGATAAATAGTGTAGTCACTCCTTTATATTGCCCATGCCTCATAATATATGTTTGTCTTTTCAAAGCAAATCCAAACAGTGGTTTACCATGTACATAAAGGGAAGACTACTGTTAGTCTGTAAGCTAATGGTGAAGAGTTTGTCCTAATATACTCCCCTATTGGAAACCACAGCATTACTATATATATACACACGTGTGTGTAATTGTTTATAAAAAACAGAGTAAATAATATAAAACCTTAGGTTTTAGCACTTAATATCTTCTTTTGTACCCTTTCTGGCTGCTTTCTACATACATGCCACTGTAACATGATGAGGGGCATTTATTGAATAACCATTCCTAGAAAACAATACCCTAATTAGGTACTGCCCATTTGATTCCTCTGTTCCTCATAATAAATTCCCACAATTTCAAATTATTATTATTATTATTATTATTATTTTTTAAAACTTTGTATTTTCCACCCATAATTTTGCTATTCCATGAAATGCATCATTTTCAAGTTTGAAAAGTGAAAATAAAGTATGTGGTGTTGCATATTTCTAATCCATTTTTAGTATAAATATGCGTATCAGATTACCAGGAATCATGCATTGAGTATAAAGTATAAACACGAGTGTCAACTTTGCATCTTCTTATCTCATTTTGACTATCAACATATCAATTCCACAACTCACGTATGAAGAAGTGAAAAATAGAATATAAGTCTTTAGCCAACTCACTAACAATTATTGACATCAAAATTTATTATGAGCTATTACCAATATTTTATATGATTTTATTAAGTGGACTCTCTCTTCTTAAGTTTTGTGGTCTAATAGTATCTCTTTTATCTTTCAAAGTGAATGACAAGGGTTCGAGTCTACAAAATAATAAAGTGACAAAATAAAAATTAAGTAGACCCTCTTCATTGATAGACTTACTCAATAACCCTAATTTCATAATTAGAATTATAAATCTAGAAAAATCAAAATTTACCATCTAAAATTTAGAATTCTAAGTTACTAGGTCCTCTCACTTTTACATTTTAAAGACAAAAAAGACCTATACTTTTTTGGTTCTTTAGGAATTTTGAAGCATTATCCTTTACAAAATTTCAAAAGGGAAAAAATCTTACTTTTGAATAATATTTGCAAATAAATTTACATTTTATAAATAATGAACTTGTTTTAGTCTTACCCTTTATTACTAAATTACCATTGGTGCCCTTTCCACATTAAAATGTAAATTATTGCTTTCCACTTCTAAAAAAAAATCTAAAAGTAACAACGGATTAATATATCACCACAGTTGTAGTGGTGGATTCCACAGAGATGTGAGACACCTCATAACATCAAAATTATATATATACATTTCAAAAGTTCAAACAAATGTGCAAGTGCCTATAAAAAATATCGTAATGGTGAATTCGAACCGATTGTTGATGTGGTCATGTATATCATGACATCCAAATTATATATATATATATATATTTAACAGTCCAAACAAATGTGCACGTAGGCATACTCATCAAAAACTTCAAAAAATAATAATAATAATAATAATAATGTCACTGCAAATAAATTTGAATTAGCACTAATTAACGTGGTTTGAACAAGCTTTGCTGCGCGTGGATTTCATGTTTGAAATTTCTCAATAAAAACAAAAAAGAAGACAAAAACAGCAAAAAGACCTGTAGTCAGAACTTTAAAAATACCATCAATTTAAGACTCTTCTAAAGTAAGTTTCTTTGTACTTATATATACATACCCTATTACTTAACTCCGCCACCTTCCTCTTCAAAATAAATCTCTCTCTCTCTCTAACCTGCCCCTCTCTTTCTCTCTCTCTACAATGGAGAACCGGTTCAAGCAACGAGTCTCTCGCTTGTTCCGTTCATCATTCGGTTCATGTCGGTCTCGAAACATATCGGACGTCATGGACCGACCCGTTTTCGTCTCCCAAAACCCCCCACACTCCCAACTCGGCGAACTCTTTTCTCCAAAGCCGACTCGTCCATTTCCTTCCATTTGCAGAAACAAATGTTCCCAAACAGTGAAATCTGTAGAAAACAGCTGTATTGTAGCTAAGGAGCTCTTTCCCAGAAGTAAAGTCTCGGACAGAAAGTCCCTGCTCTTTCCGGCCGACGTCGACGGCCGTAAATGCCCACCTGTTTCACCCATTTCGCCTCTGCACACATTCTACGACTTCAAATCTTTCGAATCATCAAATCCCAAAGAGAAAAGATCGAGAGATGCGAAGAACAAGAAGAAGAAGAAGACCCATGTGAGGAGCAAAAAGGGTGACAAAGTTCAATTTGACGCTTTAGTGGCGGACAATTATAGTAGATGGTTTAGCAGCGACGGCGATGAAGAGGAAGACGACGATGAGACGACCCTCTTCTCCTCAAAATCTCTATCTTCCGACTCATCTGTCAACTCCTTTTGCCGGAAAAAACCCAGTCGCCGCCCCAAACCGTCAGCCAATCGACAGAGAAGATCTCAAAGGAAGGAGTCTGAAACGGGTGTAGTGACGTTACAGGGGAAGGTTAAAGATAGCTTGGCGGTGGTGAAGCGTTCGAGTGATCCTTACAATGATTTCAGGACTTCTATGGTGGAAATGATTGTGGAAAGACAGATCTTTTCGACCAAGGATCTGGAGAATTTGTTGCAGTGTTTTCTATCGTTGAACTCGTATCATCATCACAGGGTCATCCTTGAAGTGTTCACAGAGGTTTGGGAAGCTCTGTTTTCTGACTGGTCTTAGAAAAAGAAAACTCTACTCTGTTTTCTCTAATTTGCTTCTTAATTATGTGTTCATGAAAAAAAAAAATATAGTTAGCGGTCTAACTGTTGCATGTTATCGACTGTATCAATTGTTAATTAGTCAATGTTGTATTGCATTTTCAGTCTTTGGTATTACCAGACTAATTAGCTACTGATATTAATTAATGTTATAATTTGATTTCTGAAATGGGTGTTGTTTGTTTGTTTCATTTGTTGTTTTTCTTTTTCTTTTGTGGATTTCCAAGAGATAAAAAGATGAATCAGAGAGAAGAAGAAAAGAGCTTTTGCATTTTGGAATGCTTTTTGAATTGATATGATAGTTGTGAAAAGTTTTGTGATTGATTTGAAAAAGATAGGAGTGAGGACAAAGTCTATGGATGGTTTTCAGATTTTACGACTTTGAAAAAAGATGATAGAGATTGAAGGGATGGTTTTGTTTTTTTTCAAAAGCAAAATGTTAGTTTCTTCTCAGGTGAACTACATTTTCAAATGGAGAGAGGGAAACTTTTTATTATTACTATTTTTTTAAAATGAATATTATTATTAAGATGTTGACAAATAGTAATGACTCTTGGTTCAATCTTTACTAAACAAAATCATTATTCAATGAAAGGAAGAGAAGAAAAATGATAAGGTTGATGATGACAAGAACTTTGTAATGGCTTTTGTGTAGAATGAGTGTAATTGATGCTCTGTTTGGAAGAGAAAATGATAAACATTGCAACTTAGATGAAGAATGTAATATAATGTTACAAATCTCTGTTATATGATTCAAACCTACTTTTAAATAGTAATTTAACTTGACTAATATGAAACTTTTATTATTGTAAACACTAATAATCTATTCTACTCATCCATGACAAAACTTTTAAAATCGTGGGCAATGATTAAAAATAAAATAGAATTTTTTTATTTCATGTGTCCTCATATGATATATTTTTTTAAGCTCATCAATCTCTACAATAATAAAATATTAAAAAGGCTATGTATTGTAATATTGTCCAATAATATTATATGCTAGTATTGATATTTCATATTTGATAATCATATAGCACCCTCTTAACCCCATTTCACAAGCTTGTGTTTTACATATAAAATTAGCCGACATCACGAACACAAGACCCTTGCAAGGAAGAAGAAAATCTATAATTTATGATGATTCAGGCATTAGTTGACTTCTGGGCAGTGGACAAAGATGTATGTATACATACATAACCACAAAATTTATAAGTTAATCTAAGTTTTGGTACATAAAAGAGACAAAATGTGATAAAGTATTAGGTACATCTACTTTTTGTATCGTTATTAACCAAATCTGTTTAATTATTACAATTCATTTGTTTTCATTACTTGGAAAATTAGACAAGACGAACAAAACACACACCCACCACCCTAGCATCGAACAGAGTTTTCCTTTGTAATGTAGTGCACAGTTTTGTAAACACCATCATAAGATGACAATATAATCAAAACAAGATGGTTTAAATGCGTTAACATGAAAGACAAGAAATTCAAAAAAAAAAGGGGAAAAATATTAATTAATCCAGTAGCTATGGTTTGCTAATCTCCAAATAGCAAGAAACACAAAAAAATCAAACTCAAAATCAATAAATTTAACTTTGATTTTCCACCATCTTATTTCAACAAGGAAATTGAAACATATGAACTATCAAATATAAATTTTTAATTTTCTGATTTGTAATTTTTTAAAAAATAATGTTTTTTTCAGTCTGATATGATCCATGTGTCGCTTTCTATGATTTACAAAACTTCCTTTTGTGGTTGATACATAAATATTTAAAAAAATTTTTTTTTTTTTTGAAAGCAATGGATCATTTGTGAGCAGTTTAATAGGAAAGTGATAGGTCTGTTTTAAATCTAGGGCAAGGGCTGCAATTGGTGTGAGACTTTGAAACAATTGAAATGAAAAAGAAGAGACAATGAACGAGGAAAGGGCAGGGACATGTCTAAGGTTTAGGGCGAAAAGGAATCAAACTTCCTTTTTCTATCTACGTGTGGGGACTTAGGCTAGAGCTTTTGTTAACTGTGTCTGACCTTGACAGCTATATAACACTGTGTATGCATATACAGATATAAGATATATATATATATACACACTGTGAGTAACAGTGTATCATAAGAGAATGAGAGAGGGAGAGACGGTAAAATTCCGTATGGTGTTTAATAATTGAAGGCACATTATGGAGCAAAATTTCGAATGTATGCAAAAAATGGAATTGAAATTAAAAGAATGTCTGGTGATGTCAGTGGTGATGTTTAAGTTGGGCCATTAATGGTCGCATTTTTTGGGTTGCCGAGCCCTTTCTATATAACTCTCTGTCACGGGTATTAATTACCCATAGGCCATAGGGCACAGGGTCTAGCCCACCCCAAGCGGAAGGATTTGATTTCTCGGAGTGTATTTGGTTGGGTGCTGCCAAACCTGCATAAATTAAGTTGTACAACCATAGCCAGAGGACACATGGTCTAGCCCACCACATTCACATGGAGGTACTACTAGATTTATCTCTTCAAGTTGCTTTGCCAACAGTTTTATTTTTTTATTTTTGAAATTTTAAGCAACTAATATAAATATAAGGGTAAAGTGCATTAAATCTCCTGAAATTATTGAGATATGTGCAAAAAACTCCTCTAAATTATAAAAGTTGCAAGAAATCCCCCTGAACTATTGGGGTATGTGCAAGAAATCCCCCTGAACTATAAAAGTTACAAAAAACCCCCCTGAACTATTGGGGTATGTGCAAAAAAACCCCCCTAAACTATATATTTTTTTACAGTTTGCCCCATCCACGCGAATTGATTGACTGAAAGGGACGATGAAGCTGAGGAATTTGTTGTTGGGTCTCCTGTCATAGCTCCATCATAGCCGTTGCATCACCCACCAGATCCGTCGGCCATATATATCGCACTTCTCTGCACCGTTGAGTCAGCCCATCGCCGTCACCGCCTTGCCCGCCGTTCAGCTCACCTTGCTCGCCGGTCCATTCCACCGTCCATTCCAATCTGGCTGGCCCATTCCGCCATCTCCATAGCCGAACACACCGCCGTCCGTGTTTCGAGCACACAGCCGTCCACAGTTCACCGCCGAGCCCCCTTGAGCTCGCTGCCACCTCCACAGTTCACGACCGAGTCAACCAAGCTCTCATCACAGCCGAGTCCTCCGCGCACAAGCCGCCATCATTTGAGACCGAGCCATCCCGCCGACCTCGGATTTCTTTGGTCTCTTCTCTCTCTCTCTCTCTAGCTCTCAGTTTTGGGTTGTGTTGGGTGAAAAACATCTTTTGGCAGGAAAAAAAAAGTAGGAAGTGTATAAGTTAAAACGACGCAATGTACGTGTTATAAGGGTAACTGGTCTTTCAAAATTTTTGGTACCGAAAGCTGATGTCATGGGGGTAAATTGCAACAAAATCATAGTTCAGGGGGGTTTCTTGCAAATGACCAATAGTTCAAGGGGGTAAATTGTAACAAAATCATAGTTCAGGGGGGTTTTTTGTAGTTCAAGGGGGTTTCTTGCAAATGACCAATAGTTAAAGGAGGTTTAATGCACTTTACCCTAAATATAATGAAGGATTACATGGTGGGTGGTTTGGCCAAATACAGCCCAATTAATGGGAAAACAAAAGCCCAAGAGAGTGGCCCAACACGGGAGAAGACCTGGACCATGATACTAAACTACAACTGCTTGATTAGTCGTTAAAGGAGGTTGTTAGTGCTCATTTCGGTTGTTCACCTTAGAAGGCCAATGTGGTGAACCTTAGTTAGTCCGACAGTCTCAGTGGAGGGCGACGGCAAGTCAGAGACATGTTCCAGTCAGTGTCTGGAGGTCAGACATTCACATAGAAAACCCAATTTCAGGATTGTGGTGATGGTGGAACAGATTCTTGTAAGAACCGCTCATTGAGTAGCATTTTTTCCTTTGAAGATCTCATCATTTTTCTCTTCCCATGTGTGGTAAACCATAGATGAGAAGCACACCAGGTTTGAGGTTGAATTTCTCTTCTATTATGTGCTTATCCAATGAATTAGATCCTCCCAACTTGCAATTGAGGTATATAATTTGTATTTGTCTCTCATAAATCGCCAAATTGGGAAAACAAAACAGCAATTGAAGGTGCATCCTGTTTTTTAGGTAGTTTGGTTTTACTATTTTTTTTCTAGGTATTTGAAATTCACTTTCCCAAAATTAATAACTTGGTTCCAAAAAAAAAAAAAATTACACTTGGAACCATCGTTTTGTATTATGCAATCAGTTCAAATTAATTTGAATAAAAAAAGAAAAGAAAAGAAAATAAAATGAAAAAGAATGAAATAAAATGATGGTGTCAACTTTCATCAGAACTCATAACTAGGTGATATTGTGAACAAATTGAACTACTTAAAAACAATTCTGTCTTGATTTTTAATCCTGTTTATTGACAAATCAAGCCAAACATTCCCATGCCCTGCTTATTAGCTCATGAGTATGTTTAAAAATTGGTGTTGGTGAACAAGTTCGATGACTTGTATACATGACTTATTTATTAAGGATTTTTTAAATAATTTTTTTTTAATTAAATAATTAATTTATCGCTTTGGTAATCTTTATCTTAAGCTGTACAAGAGTAGGCGGAGATTGAAGTTGAGATTGACTAAATGAACTGAGTTCAAATTAACTTGACGAGTAATATTCGATTTGAACTCAAACACACGTACTAATGGCAGTTATGTGCTTTGTCGCAGTTATGTGTTTAGTGTTGTCCCATAACTAGGCTTGTGTTGCTCCTTTGGACTCGTCTTGACCCTTTGGGCTTATTTTTTCCTTTTGGGCCAAAGGCCGAATAATGTACATTTTATTAATATATATGAAAATTGCTTTAATTTTCGAAAAAAAAAAGAAAAAACTTAATCTAGACAATCAAACTCGAGTGTGAGCTTGAATTGTCTACAACTTGGCTCAAGTTGCAGCCTTATTCATCATTG